CAAACTATATAGGCGTGCTAGTGTGAGTCTGGTAGAATGGTAGATTGAATTAATATCAAAGAAAACAAAATACTGCGTAAATAAATAATTATAATTTCATATGTCGATAAAAAATGCTATGCAATAGCTTTACCGCGGCAGTCCCCGAGTAACACACGTCTTTTTTTTAATTCCTTTAAGTACTTCGTTAAGTCTAACAAATTCTGCAGACTAAAAAATATCTAAAAAGAAACAAAATTATGGCAATCAAGGTGTAGAAAATTATTTTAATCGAAATTTAACTCCCCCATAACATTTATGTTATAACGCTTGCTTGTCTAAAATCGATTTTAAAGAAATGTCGTGAAACAGTTGACCTTGGGACGGAACTTTTTTGAGTGTTAGGCGGTAAAAGGGGGGGGGAAGGGATGACAGTTTGTATGGAAGTTCTTTGTCGTAATGTCCTTAAAAACTATATTACGCAAATAAACAAATAAAGGGAAAAAGAACCGAGACAAATTGCAGGTAATGGATTTTAATATAATTAGTTTCAAATTATTGCTAAGACTAATAATTTTCTGTTTTTTATTTTGTAATCCAACAGCTAACATAAGTTATATAACAAAAAACAATTATGATAAACATATAGCCCATGGAATACATATATACAAAAACGGCTCTGTTGTGTGTGAAAGGGTGAATAGAAGATAATAGTTGTGTGATGTGTAGTTGTGTGTGAATGTGAGGGTGAATAGAGGATTGTATAAGTACCACAGATAAACTTACCATAATCTCCAAGTTTGACGTGGACATCAATAGGGTCTGGGCTATTTTCAGCCACTTGAGATTCAGCTGGAGCTGGGAAAGTCCAAACCAGCACGTTTTCCGACTGAAATTTTACATGGTATTTTTACATTGCGACAAAATCATGGCTTCTTCACAGATTTAAATCACTTAAATGCTCATAAAATTAAACACTTTGACAGATCCGACCAAATTTTTTGTATTGCAAAGCTCTGTGGTCCGTATCCCAATTCCTATGTCATGCCACAATGTCGCCTTGAGTGTTGTCAAATATGTCAAACAAAGAAATGTGGTGGTGCGCGGCAAAAATTGCCTTAAAATGAATGTTATATAATAACCTACGACGAATACCTTTAAATCCCGATAAAGCACGCGATGCGTGTGCAAGTATTCGAGTGCGCGTGCGAGCTGAAGCGTCAACGCACGCGCAGCACGTGCACCCACTCTGGCTCCACAACCACGATAGCTACGGAGTGTGTTCTCTAGGGAACCCTGAAAATCATTTCTTTTTTTTTATGATTCGCGTACAGTAGATGAAAACCAAATACCTTTTTAAAAGTTAGTCAAAACATACTTATAAAAAATTAATAAACTATATTCAGCTTTTTGTCACAAATTCAATATTCTTCACGCATATGATTTACGCAACTTAGGCCACAGTCTATGTTTCATCAAAATTGGTTGAGTAGTTTTTGAGATCGTTTACACACCTGTGAAATATTAAATTCAACTTTTTTAATAAATTGAAATAAGGCCGATTAAATTCCATAGTTTCATACCTGAGGCGCAATAGCCAGCAACAAGGCAAGTGGAGCTGGACAGGCTGCCAGCAGCGGCAGTACGTGAGGATGCCGAAGTCTGCTGAGGATGCCCAACTCTTGACGTAGACCGCAGTAGGCCCGACAGGCCCCTGCTAATGGCTCCCGTTCCCAACGTGAGACCGCTGCCTGGAAGTATAAAATAATGATAACGAACCATATATCCATTTTACTCAATGCTGCTGAATACAGCCCCCATCTCTCAGTTTATATTGTACTCTATTTATTTGAGAGACAGAGAGTGAGTGAAAGAAAAAAAAAGTGTGTGTGTGTCAGCTACGACGCACGATTGGAGTTTACTCCTTACGAACGATAAAATGGCGATAATGTTCTGTGGCTGTCGACCATATTTTCATACTAAAGGTGGTAAGAATATATGTTTTTATAATATAAATGTTTGTAGTAGTAATAAAACGTACCTACATCATCTATGCCCAAATAGGATTTTCTTTCTGTGACCAAAGTTACTTTTATAGTAAGAGAAGAATTTAATTTCACTGACCATTACTATTGACAAAACTCTATGGCACGCTAGACAATCTACTTTTATTTTTTACACCTGTCAACACTGACAATGTTGTAACGTGGCTGTCAAAACGTGAATTCAAAATAGAAAAGTCTGTGTAATGTATTCCATCTCATTCTTTTACACGTTCAATCCATTTGTCTCTTTCTACATAACGCCTCAACTTTTCGTGTTACACTTGATTTTACTCCTCATAAAATTTCCGTACCGGGCCTTATAACTCAAATCGTTTCTTAAGGAGTAAACTCCAATAAAAAATATATGCTAACCGATTTGGATTTCGATTGTACAGAATACTACATACCACGACTCAGGGACTGCAAAAACTAACCCAGACACATCAGAAGCTTATAACTACTCTCAGTCACACTCTAGTTATCTATCTATCTCATCACATACTTAAACTCACACATAATTTTGGTCATTATATTTGTAAAGCTCGTTGGTTTAATCCGGCTCGAAGGACCAATGTACAGCTTTACAGCCAGTGTGTGAGATCTTGTACAGTATATGTGTATGTATTAGCAAGCTGCACTAGATAACTAAATATAAGATATTGTAGGATGACATAAGAATCTAACAACGGATCCCTAAACCCTACTACAGGTGTACCATAACACATAAATAGCCTATATATATAAATAAGTAAGTTAATTTTGTCACAAATGTATGAATAAATTTTATTGTTTAATGTTTTTCAATTTCTCGTCACAACCGATTTGTGACAAGAACTGTTATTCAATCATCCGCCATTAACCAATCAATTATGAACCTAAATCAAAGGTCCCTCAAATCAGTGTTAGGCATGGTGAAATAGGAGCACACACATTATCGTGGGAATGACATGTAAGGACATATCACTATTCATAGAAAACAAAATCAGAACAAATAAAACTACTCGTTCGTTCATTGTGTGAGAGAAAGAGACAAAATAGTATTTTTCCTGAGTTAGATTACAGCGACTTATTGTTAACAAAAGTAATTTAATTGTCAAAGAATTTGCATCAAATGTTAAATACCTTGTAAGCCGTAAGAGCGGGTATAGAGTGCGGCTGCGCTGGCACCGGCTGTAGCGCCTTTAATGCGACTCTGCGAGATTCGCAGCCAGGTGGGCGCCATGTTCCAGCAACCACCGTCCCAAACGCCCCCCTCCCCACCACGGCCCCAAGTGTTATGTGCTCCCAACGGGCACGTTTTGAGTCTTCCACGTCGAGTAGAAGCTGTAAAATAATTTAAAAAAATAAACCAACATCTCAAAAACTCCTGAAACGATTTAGATGTCTCGAAAGTTGAAATGCATTTGATTTAAACCAATAGAACCATATATGACTTTTCCTTGCACACGTGCTTTGAAACCCAAATCATAATACTTCTTTTCCCATTTCAGTAATATCACTTACAGTCAGTTCATATTTATAACCTACTTTTACTGAGTCGGTTAATAATTGTCTTCTATATATTACTGTCTTTTGTATATTACTAACTGTCTTATGTATATTACTAACTGTTTTATGTGTATTACTGTCTTATGCATATTACTAACTGTCTTATGTATATTACTAACTGTTTTATGTATATTACTGTCTTATGTGTATTACTAACTGTCTGGTGTATATTACTAACTATTTTATGTATATTACTGTCTTATGCATATTACTAACTGTCTAATGTATATTACTAACTGTTTTATGTATATTACTAACTGTTTTATGTATATTACTAACTGTCTGGTGTATATTACTAACTATTTTACGTATATTACTGTCTTATGCATATTACTAACTGTCTGGTGTATATTACTAACTTTTTTATGTATATTACTGTCTTATGCATATTACTGTCTTATGTATATTACTAACTGTTTTATGTATATTACTAACTGTCTGGTGTATATTACTAACTATTTTACGTATATTACTGTCTTATGCATATTACTAACTGTCTTATGTATATTACTAACTGTTTTATGTATATTACTGTCTTATGTATATTACTAACTGTCTGGTGTATATTACTAACTATTTTATGTATATTACTGTCTTATGCATATTACTAACTGCCTAATGTATATTACTAACTATTTTACGTATATTACTAACTGTTTTATGTATATTAATAACTGTCTGGTGTATATTACTAACTATTTTACGTATATTACTGTCTTATGTATATTACTAACTGTCTGGTGTATATTACTAACTATTTTACGTATATTACTGTCTTATGCATATTACTAACTGTCTTATGTATATTACTAACTGTTTTATGTATATTACTAACTGTCTGGTGTATATTACTAACTATTTTATGTATATTACTGTCTTATGCATATTACTAACTGCCACATATACTACCAGTTACCTAATTAGGATGTATTTATCATGGAATATTTGCATCAAATTATAAATTTTTTTTTATGAATTATAGCATAAGCTACACTATTAAAAGCCTTCATAAGATCCAAAACACGGTGACAATTTTCATAAGTTTTGCTGAATACCTTCTTTCTATAAGCACGTCTAATACTCACCACATCAGGTGCGACATCAGCGAGTTCAACGTCAGCATGATGCTGGCAGACCAGCCTCTTACCAGTGCATCCTGCTAGAATACACTCTTCAAGGGTCCAACATTCTCCAACTGTGAAACAACGTTGAACTCCTTCAACGGAACCGAGGCGCGATGATGCTAAAAAAAATTGCTAATTTAATATTACTAAAATAAAGACGCATTATAAAATGTCGTGTTATGAATTCAAATTCAGAATTCTAACTAAAAAGTTAGAGTGAGTTCTGATCCATAGATTGAGAGGCAAGATCTGGAGTTAGGTCCCTAAGTGTACATGGGCGGCATTATTAAACTGTTTTTAGAGGCACTTTACACCTAGGATATAAACTCTTTTGCCGAAAAACGGGCACCGAAGGAAATTTACGTTCACTCAGTTAATTAAATGAAATTTATAATTAATAAATTTTTGTATACTTATAATCGTGATAATACGAGTGAAGTGAATTCTAGGAGCTGCCCTCGTTCTTCGTTCCTGTTATTCTTCTGTCTCCATTAATCTGTTCCCTTTTTCACTCCGTCTTATACATAAGTGGGAGTAAATGAACCCGTTAATTCATAAACCTTGGAATTTGAATCCCCAAAATCAGTGTATTTTTAGGAATTAATATAGTATTGATGTCTTGTAAAAGAGGACATTTTCATGAACTGGAAAATATTATTAGCATGCTAACAAATACTAGGGTTATATAAAATGTATATTTCCATAAACTCGAATGTTTCATAATAATTTAAATAACAACAGTAATTTATTAAGAATTTCGTATAAAAACTTACAAACTGACTCGTTCCCGACTCCACTGTCACGATCCGAAGTTCTCGACTCCTCGGAGAGGCGTAATCTTCGCGGTTCATTCCCCAATTCTAGACGTTTCAAAGCCTGAAATAACAAAGGAAAATATTTAGTTTGAAAATGTCAAAAACAATTTTCTAGACTTTTTAGAACGAACTTAAATAATTTCTTCTAGTACAATACGATATTAGTTTTTGGCAGATTCCATACAATTTGTATAGTTTTCTATTCAAACAAGTTCTGCTTCCGTTTAGTTTCAAATCCACTAACAGAGCGCTGTTCTGGATTTAATAACAAAAATCTATTGTAACTTTTTTATTGGGTAAATAAGTCTTTGTTACGTGTGGTGCCTGTATTTTGGAAAATAAATTTCATTTAAGGACATAATATTTTATCAATAATATCGTCAATATATGTGAAATATGGTCCTATGCCCTATTATAATGAAAAATATTCACAGGCGCAGCTTTACCCTATATCTAGCATAATTGTTTCATTTTTCTTAGTATTTTAATATATATAGAAACGGGAATATTTTGACGTAAATTGATTACCTGAACCAAATTATTGTCATGTAGTTCTGGCTGGAATTGTGGGAGATTGTTTGAGACAGCGTCGCGCAGACACCCGGGGCATGGGACCACTCGTGTTATGAGACAACGCCCTTCCGAGGTATGCACGAAGCGGGTACCTAGAGCGGCAAATAACGGTTCCAAACCCTTAATAAAAAATTTACCAAAAATTGACTTTAAATTGCGAAGTTAGCCTAGTGACTAGATGCCCTCACAATTCTGGGGTCGTGCGTTAAAGGTAGATCGTAAGGGTTTTGTAATAAACTAAAAATCTACATATTTCAGGCACAAAACCCTAATCATACATACATACATATATATTTTTTAATATTGAACAGAAATAATGAAAATCTAAACAGCCGCCATCTGAGGCCTTGGCCCAAGACCTCCGTATTGATTATATTAGTAATGTCGACAAAATAGTTGGAGCTCATACTCCAAAGAAATAAAAAAAGTATTGCAAATAAAAAAAACTTAATTAGTTTATTTAGACGAGATAGGTTTTTTAAAACATTAAAATACGTACTAATTGACGTATCGAATAATAATTTCTTTTTTATTTTATTCTTATATCACAGGGGCAAACGCACACTAACATTGCCAGAAAGATGGCAAGTGCGTACGAAAAGAATTGGTACGCTCTTTCTTGTAGGAAGTTTAAATCGAATTCCTATGTTTTCTTCTGGAAACCTTCTTGCCAAAATAGTAACTTAATCGTATTATTATAGCTTGTTTTAGCTAGAAAAGCTCACCTAAAGATGGATACCAATCTTCCAGCAACAAGTCCAGAAGATCTGAGACCAGCGCCAGAACTTTTGCCAGTACCGCTGGGTTGGGTTCCAAGGTTATACTCTGAAATATTTCGTTACTATTAGTCATCTCATTGATTTCAGAATAACCCGTATCCAACTAATATGAAAATAAATTCTGAATTGAAGTTTGAGTTTCCTTTGAATTATTATTGATATATGTGGCAGATTCGAAGCGATTAATTTTTGCCAGATAGATATAACTATAGTCGTATTATCAAAAGTCAAAATCATTTATTCATTTAGGTAACACAATGTTCACTTATGAACGTCAAAATGAAATATATTTTAAATGCTTCTAATTTTACATTTACTGCCAGTTCTCAAATTAAGGGCGTAGAACGGAAGAGAAGAACTGGCAATAAACTCTCCGCCACTCTTTTTAATCGCCAAGTTTTTTGTTTTACACAATGTTTGTAAGGAGCTGCAACCATTACACCATGTTCCACATGTTATCTTAAGTAATAAATAACAAATATTTGTACTCTATCATCAGAAGGCATGGTGAAATAGGAGCATGCACTAACAATCTCGTGGGGGATCTCGTTCTCAGAGTGTAACTGAACAATCGTTAGAAAACTGAGACTTATTACTAAAATAAAGATGCATGTTGAGACGTTTATAAACACTAGAAGTGAATGACAATGTACAATTTCATTAAACCGTTGAAAAAGCGGAGTACCTCAAATCTCCCTAGAATTATTTCAGGGTCTCCAATATCGGCTAAAAATGTAACTTGTTATTGAATAAAGAAATTTTGATTTTGAATTAAACTGAACGATCGATTCAGTGCACTAGTGACAAATTGACTTTGACACATTGACAATTTACAACCCGTTAGATGTCTATGATGGCGTTGGGTTGCCATTCTAATAAAACAAATGACATCGTGTTCTCTTAACTGACACTACATAAACAAAATTCAGTAGATTAGCTTAAAATGGTTATTTAAATATTGCTAGGACAAAAACGACTTTGAAAACGGTACATTTTGGATATTAACCTGGTATCCTGTTAACGGGAGCCCATCTTTGCGTTTTGCGATGCAGGCTTGCGCTGGCAGAAGAATTTCAATGCAGGCAGAAGTCTGCATATCCAATTCACACCACACACCTTCTTGACGTACTCGAAATCTGTATTTTAACAGAAAACAACTATATTACTAAGTAAATGTCAGTGTTACTTCAAATTTTACAAGCAAATAAGTAATAACGAAAGAACCTAGGAAGGTTAAAGAAGGAATCCTTCAAATTTTCTAGAAAATTCAGGATTTTAATAATGATTTTTATAAATTGACCCGTTTTTGAAGTTATATTTCTTTAGGTGCGTTATGAAAAATTGATGAGAGTGAAATTTTACGATGCGCGCGCACCGTGACACAAAATTAACAGAATGAAGTTGCCCACGGAAGATGCTACGGCATTGGAAATAATTTAAAAACAACATTCGAATAATAATAGAATTTATGTTACACTTAATGTAAAGAATAATAATAAATATTTATTTATTTGATTTTTCAAATGTAAACTGAACTTTATTGACTATAATGACTCCTTTCCCAGTCTTTGATTATTTAATTGTAATTAATAATTTGCATGCAATCAAAAACTATTTTTAATAATGCCAAAGAAGTATAACTTCATACGCGTGTACTGAAATTTGCTAGGCAACCCATATAGATTATATTTATTGACATATTAAATTAAATATAAAATACGTTTCATTAAATAAGCATCTCGGTGAAGGTCGTTGTATATCGGGATCTTATACTATTATGTGTATGTTTTTGATTAAGGTAATAAAGTATAAATAAATAAATATATGTGAAAACCATACAAAATTCAATTTCGTAGTTTCTGAGTTTTTCGCTTCTACATATACACGGCCAGGAGACTTTATTTTATAACATTTTATCATATATTTTAATTAATAATTTTGACATTATTTCTGTAGTGAATGGTATATGTAAGCACGCTATTTAAAATCGTAAAGTATCAGTCATGTAAATAAAATCATCAAAAAACGCAATCTCTCCAACCTTTAGGCCCTTTCTCCACTGCGCCGGTCCGGTGTCGCATACCGGAATGAGTCATGAGAAAAATATCGGAAGGCCGGATTGCGCTTCTCCACTATATCCGATCCGACAATAATCGATTCTTGTATATTTATCATGCAACACTTATATTAACTTTATTATATTAATAAAACGTTCTAAATTCTGGAAATTTTATTGCCCTGGCAAGTTTATTACTTTTTAATATTGTCTATCTTAAAATATTATAATCTTCTTAATAAATAGTTCACTAATACTATGGTATAAAAATATAAATAAATAGCAACATAATTTGGTTTGGTCCAGGTTATCCAGATTCTTTCAAATTAAAGAAACTATAAATAAACCTGTGAATAATAATTTATAACCTCTTGGATACTTGGACCGATAAAACACCGCGTTCCGTACTAGCAAGTTATCGGATCGATAAAAACCGGATGCCGGAGTAGTGGAGAAGTACGTAAGTACTGTTGTGAGTTTCTAAATCGGATCGGTAATTAACGTTTGCCGGACCGGAGCAGTGGAGAAACGGCCTTAGGGTTTGCTGGCTTATTAACCTCATATGGTGGTACAATTCCTCCGTATCCACATCATCCACCAGGCTCCCCAGCAAAGGGTCCTTTGTTGGGGATATCTCCCTCAACGAAAGCAAGGTCAGCTGTCCACAGACTAACTTCAATCCCGTCTTCCAAACCTTCCAGGACCAGTTGAGCTCAAGTGCCTTCATCAGGTTTTCGTCTTGTTCAATCTTATATAAAAAAATATGCTGTTAGTATATATTTAAAATAATAAAAAAATAAATCAGTGGCGCTACAGCCTCTTTAGGTCTTGGCCTCAGATTTCTGAATTTGTTTCATGATCATTTTTAAATCTAACGCCGTCGACTTTTTGAGTCTAAGATATGTCGGTTTCCTCTCGATGTTTTCGTTCACCGTTCGAGCGAATGTTAAATGCGCACATAGAAAGTCCATTGGTGCACAGCCGGGAATCGAACCTACAACCTCAGGTATGAGAGTCGCACGCTGAAGACACTAGGCCAACACAAAAATATATACAACTTTAAATTTAAATAATATATAACCTTAAAATTGTATTATGTTCCTTAATTGATATACCTCTTGTGGAATCTTGTACAGATCAGGCGCAGTGGCAGCGAGTGCACCATCAGCCAAAAGCCGCGCACACAACCGCGCCCAAAAGCCACATGGCACGTACGACATCAGAAGGATACGACGAAGCGAGCGGCCACTATCCCTACTTGATAGGACGATGCCCCATCCGCAGTCCTCTATGGACAAAAATCTGTACACTTAGGGTAAGTATGACTTCGGTACGTCAAATCCAATTCGGAATTTCGACAGCGCTAAGTATCGACTCTGAGCGTTAGATATTTTAAATTTACCGGTTTATACTTTGGCAAGTGACATTAAAATTAAAATTAAACATTATACAAAAGTAGTGCTTAATTTGTTTGTTTTAAAAATATTAAAAAACTGTTACAATGTGGTATTTGGTGGATGTTGTGTGACCGAAATGAAGCCGTCAAATTAAATAAAAAAGTGCGTGCGTACAAAGTACACACATCAAAATGAAACTTCTTTGTCAAACCAATTTTTAACTCTTGTTCATATTTATACAAATCTAAGACTTTCGATTTCCGAAACTTAAGAGGGAAGAAAAAGGAAGATATATTAGGAGTTTAATGAATGTAATTGGTATTAAAATATTAAAAGTGTCGAAAATTAATACAAATAATATATATTTTTTTTAAATTTATATCTTCGATACTAAAAACACGTGTCATTTGAATTTACAATTCATCATTTGAGATTTCAATAAAATTCTTTTGAATAAAATTTAAATAATAATATTTAATAAATTTACTTTACGAAATTTTAATTTTAAAAATATAATTTCTATGAGGTTTCACCTTTAACACTCTGTCTCAATCGCTCTCTACATTTTCTTCGACAAAAACGCTGCACATCTTCGTGACGTTCCGTAAAAATTTTACCCTCATGCGCCTTAAGAAGTTTCACTTCAAAAACTACAAGCTGACCTGTCTATTATAAGTTGGCATTTAGTTAGAGTACATACGTGTGAGAGGGGCTTCAGAGTTGCGTATTTCGTCGCAGGTCGTCAATGTGTTGGAGAACATTCTCCGAGGGGTGCCCGGCCAGGTACGGGATTTTAGGGCTAACTGTAAATAATATTCATGTTCGATCACTAAGCTAGATTATTGCACGATTACTGACAAATGCGTGCACTGACTTGACAGGTCCACTCAATCTGTATGGTTCTTTCCTCAAAAGACCATTTCAGACTGCAATCTACATGGTCTTCACATGATCTGACCAAGATTATGTCTGGACTTTAAAAGAGACTGTGACCTCTGAGTTTGTTTCGGCGTTTCTTCTCAGAGTAGTCAGATAGGAAACGTCGAACTCATGTAATTTAAAAAAATGTGTGCGTGTACTAGGTGTACACACGTAAGAAGTGAAACTTCTTTATGATCTTATTAGAAACTATTTCTTTAAACACAGTAAATTTTGATACACTGCCTAGCATATAATTTACAAATTAATTGCTGCAAATTGCGATTAGCAAATTTCAAGTCGAAAATGTAATCCGTTGTCAAACTTCAAAGTCAAAAACATACTATATGTTATATTTTAACGCCGATAAAGAAGTTTGACTTCAAAAAGCAACATGGCGCGTAACGGAAAAATGTGACGCGTAACGCAAAAATGTTACACTAAATTTTTTTCCAACCCCGATAAAGAAGTTTCACTTCAAAAAAATATATGCTTGACGTGTAAGTGTTTGTACAAACCTACTCACAGAGAATAAATCATTTATCATTTATAAAAACATTCAATCAGTCACGATTTTCATTTTATACCTCACAAAGATGAACAATTTTCTCCCATACACATACTTGTTTCCAACGAAACCTTTATATATATATTAAAACAACATTCTATCCGTAACAACAAACATTTGCTGTATTCGTGTGCACATATTAACACAAAATTTGATATAATTCAAATATAACAGAGCGCTTTAACTTTTCATACAAAAAGTCTTATTAAGATACATTATATAATCGATTGTATTGTTCATGCTTAGAGTGCCAAATGGTATCTCAAATAAGAGAAAGAAATATGGTGTCTGAAGTGCATTTTATAACTCTAGCTGAGCAAGCATTTCTTAAAAAGTTAAAAATATTATATATATCGTAAAAAACATGATAAATAGTGTACAGGGTCCTGTTATATAGCCTTGCACCCTATCTGGCTGACTCACTAGTACCTTCTGTCTAGTCAGCATTTCCCACCGAGAGGTGAAACAATAATTAAAATATGAAATCAGTTCGGTGTCATCCTTCGTCGCGGAAACACATTTGTTGGTTTTCATTTATATTCTGTAAGTTTTTATAATCAAATAAAAGTTCAATTGTATCGTGAATTCATTTTTCTTTTTTTTTAAACCCAATTACTGGGATACTTTTAACAGTCTGAATAGCACAGAATGGCATATAATAGAAAATCTATTACATAAAAAATAAAGAAAATTTATTTCTTTGTTATGTCATTAGTATATAAGATTTCAAAACCTAACCTAAACAAGGTTCTTAAAAAAATATTATTGAAATTACTTTATAATACCTCGCCATCTCTTTATATAAATTATGCTACTTTTGGGTTTTGTCAGTTAAGTACTCGCACAAATATGTATATTTTGTAAGTACCCAAATAAATACGAAAATTTGTAAAAATATACCTGTGGTTGCGGCTGCATTGGCTCAGTGGTGGGGAGCAAGGGTGGGACGAGCAACGCCCTACCGTCCCAGCATAGAGCCAGCTCGAACTTGTTCAGCAAGGACATTCCCAACGAACGAGCTTCCTCTCCACCTCCTAATGCTGGCGAGGCTTTGAAGACGTGCGCTAAATCTTCCACCTTCATTATACCTAAAGATTTTTTTATCATTATTCTTCTTACTGGTACGGAAAGGAAAATTTCGAAGTGAATACCGTCTAAGAAGATTTTCCGATCGATAAATTTCTCCAACTAGATCAGATTTTTTTTTGCGTTGTACTAGTAACTCAGGCGCAATTTCTTAGGCATTGCGCTAATTCAAAATTTGCTTAAGCGTGCGATTCACATGTGACATAGACTTTCTGTGTGTCAATCTCTTCCGAAATTGCTCGAACGATTTTCGTGAAATTTTGTGTGAATATTGGTTAGGTACCTTATCGGACAACATCTATTTTTCATTCCCCTAAATGTTAAGGGTGGTCCGGTCCAACCCTTTTTTTTTATACAAATTTTTTTCTTTTTCTTTTTTTATGATAAAGTTTTTTATGATAAGATAAATAAATACAAACAACCCTTTATTTTCACCCCTCACCGATCAAAGCTTATTTTTTATTTGTTAATTAAATACTTATGACTTTCACATGAAGAAGAAACAAAGTTCGCGGGGGCATTTAGTATAGTAATATATATAACACTCGTTCGTACGGTGAACGAAATCGTGAGACATGCATTAGAACCATAGGTACATAAATTATCGAAAAAATAAGTGACGCGCGAAAATTACAAACCAACTTCATTGTAGAAGTCTATGAACATCTTTAATCTAGACCTATATGATTTTTAGCTCTCGAGACATTAGTATTTAATCAGAAATAACACACGTGCCTAGATGCCCAAATAGAATATCCAATTCCAACAATATCACATGGTTACCCATGAAGTTTTTGCCGCGCACCACCACAATGTGGAACCAGCTGCCCATTGAAGTATTTTCGAACCAATTCGACTTAGGGTCCAAAAAGAAAAGAGCCTTCTGGCACTGTGAGTATCATTTAACATCAGATATCAACAAAGTTAAATCCTTTTTAAAACGATCAACTGGTGCCGTTTACGGGTACAACCAAAAAATTCTAAAAACACATTTTAAGAAATATCTAAACACTTACCACTATTAGCGAACGGATTGATCTCCCGAACAGTAACGACATGAGCCAAAATATCACAGAGCCACTGAGGACGGAGGAAGTACAGCTCCTTAAGTGTCGCGTCGTCGTAGTGGAGTAAGACACCTGCGGATATTAGAAGTACTTAGTGGTTAACGAAGACATATGTGGGTTTCGAATTCAGATAGGAAGGTTTAGCGTGCAGTGAGTGATTATGAGTGAAGAAGAGTGGTTGTCAGAAAGGAAGAAACTCAGAAGTTATAAAAAAAGCGATATAATAATTTTACGTACACGAATTTTGACAACTGACATACTAGTTATAACTTATAAGAAACGTAGTTTGATGTGAATTGTGTTTGTGTTTAGTCAACAGGATTTCTTAACCACTTTTAGAAATTCCTGGCCGGATTATAAAGGAAGATGGAGGTAAGAGGAGGGAAGGGAGGGAGAGAGGGGGGGGTTTAGGGAGAATAAGGAGATTGGAGAAGATGGTATCTCAACCCAACAGAGTTTGAAACGAATAGACTGCTGGAATGGGCATCTAGAGAGAATGGGAAAGGATCGGAGTGTCAAGGATTCATATCTGGGCCCAGATCCGCTGCAAAGACATCGTAAAGAGGGACTTGCATGAGCTCCAAGTTGCCACGCAGCAGCCAAACATCGTCGAAGGTGGCGTTCTCAAGTCTTGGAGGCCAAAACTTGGGTCATTTCCCCACAGGAGTATAAAGTGTAAAAAGAGATTGACTACTACTTCTGTCGTACTCTTCATTTCTGAAAGTCGTGTCACTGTAAGGTTCCTGCCCTGCTAGTGATATCATACATTATGATATTTACCATTTTCATGTAGAAACATCGTCGCCTGGTGCAATTCAGCGGCATCTCTGAACATTTTGAGATTCTTCTGCTGCATGTACTGCGTAACCTGGAATTTTATGACTTATTCAGGTTTAATTGTCTAAAGATACTTTAGTCTTATTACCATCAAATATATTTTTACGTGAGATTTTTGAAGTGAAACTTCTTTAGGCCCATGAGGGTAAAATTTTTACGGAACGTCACGAAGATGTGCAGCGTTTTTGTCGAAAGGGAGAGATCGATTGAGAGATAGTGAGAAGGGTAAAATACCTTATAAAAAATTTGTTTTTAAAATTAAAATTTCGTAAAGAGAATTTATGAAATTTAGTATTTTATATTTTATTCAAAATCATCTATTGAAATTTTAAATGACGAACTGTAAATTAAAATGCCACGTTTTCTATTATCGAAGAAATAAATAAATAAAAAATTATAAAATTCACGTGTCACAATGTTCGTTCCCATACTCCTCCGAAACGGCTCGACCGATTGTTATGAAATTTTTTATGCATATTCAGTAAGTCTGAGAATCGGCTACTATCTATCTTTCAAACCCCTAAGTGTCAACCCCAATTTTTTTTTTTGTTTTTATATTTTTATGATACAGCATACAAAAATGCATACAACCCCTAATTTTCACCCCTCTATGTTATATTTTTATTTTTTAATATATTAGATAGTTATTTTTATTGAACTAAAAAAATGTTTTCAAGAAATAATATACAAGGCAAACCAAACGTTTGCCGAGTCAGCTAGTAATTTGTATAAATTTTTGACACTTTTAATATTTTAATGACAATTAAATTCATTTAATTCCTAACATATCTTCCTTTTTCCCTCCCTCTAAGTCTCGGAAATCTAAAGCTTTAGATTTGTATAAATATGAACAAGACTTAAACATTCGTTTGCCAAAGAAGTTTCACTTCTGACATGTGTACTTTGTACGCACGCACTTTTTTTTGAATAATTTGTAGAAGGTATTAAATAAGCGCACTCTTTTGATGTATTTTGCGGGTAGTTATGTTCAATTAGCGTATATTATAAGAGCAAAGATTTGCATTTTCCATGTTTGTAATACATATCTCTAAAACTCCTAAACTGATTTCTAAAAATAAAGGAATTTACCAAGCGTCGATACTGTTCGTGTCTTAGAACCGGCTCCTTGAGTTCACCAGCTAAGGAACTGACACATTCTTCCAAAGCCAAATATGTAGCTGGCACACGCTGTTCCAACATCGGTTCTTTGCTACCTATAATTAAACCAAGAAGTATTACCAAGGACAGCTTTTGACAGATATATAGATTTGACAGTTCCTATACATTTTGTATATAATATACGAATTCTATTCAAAGCATCCGTTTAGTTCCAAATACGCACACGGAGCGCTGCTAATGTTTTCCATTCGAAAAACTATATTTGTAACGCGACAGACTCGCGTTGGCGTAAACAATATCACACTACGGCCAAGACGCATACACGCAACGCACACATAGAAGCGCGCGGCTTCTATATAATGCGATGTCCGATCAAGCTCGTGGCATTCGCTAGCTAGACGTCTGCAAGTACGATAGCCCACCGGGTCGTCTGCTTGTAGATCTTCAGTAGCTTTTCTTGACCGATGCCCCGCGTCGTTAAGTTAAGCCTTAGCTAGGTGAACATAAGGGTTGCGATGCCCCGCGTCCTCCCTACGGTTCAATGTTAGGTTAGTCATATTGTATGTACCTATCTACTGTTATGTTTTCAATATTGTAACAAGAAGAACAATAAATTACTTTCTTAAGGACAATTGAGTTTAATTCTCAACACGCCCTTACAACTGGCGCCCAACGTAAAAGAAGAAGACGGGTATACTAAAAATTCAAAAGACCCGCATTTTTTATCAACGCGCCTTTCAACTGGTGCTCAATGTAAAAGAAGAAGACGGGTATATTAAAATTAAACAGACCCGCAAATTTTTAACGCGCCTTACAACTAAACGGCACCCAACGTAAAAGAAGAAGACGGGTATATTAAAAATTCAAAAGACCCGCATTTTTATCAACGCGTCTTTCAATTGGCGCTCAATGTAAAAGAAGGAGACGGGTATATTAAAATTAAACAGACCCGCAAATTTTCAACGCGCCGTCCAATTGGCAACAGTAAAAATAAATATACGGGTGTATTAAAATTTTAAACTACCCACATTTTTTCAAAATGAGCGAACAAGCTACAAATATAGTTATGAGTGACAATCAACTCATTCACTTGATTGAAGCGATATCAAGAACATCATTGTCCTCAAGAGAAGAAAGTTTTGAACGACTAATACAATCTTTTTCGTCGATATCTACTTCAGATACCAATATGCAACGTACAAGTTTTGCTAAATGTTTGTCAAGGTTTAGTGGTGAACGAGATTTCAATGTGGTGGAAGAATTTATTAACACTATAAGTATCTTCAAGAAAATTGAAAATATTTCGGATGATGATGCCATAGAAGGTTTGGGGTTATTATTAACTGGTCAAGCATCAACTTGGTGGCAAGGAGTAAAAACGGAGGCAAAAACTTGGATTTCAGCAATAAATCTGTTAAGAGAATCTTTCGCCCCGAAAAAGCAACCTCACGAAATTTATTTAGAGTTATTTTCTACACGCCAAGGTCTCAAGGAATCAATTGACACATTTCTTTGTACAAAACGTGCACTTTTATCACAATTACCAACACAACGGCACAAGGAAGAGGATCAAATTGATTTAATTTATGGTTTGCTAAACATTTATTTGAAAAAACATATTCCAAGGTCAGAAATTAAGACTTTTCGGGATCTACTGACAAAAGGACGTCATTTTCAAAGTTTAAAGAATAATGAAGAGGGAGAAAAATTAATAATCAAAAGGTGTAATTATTGTAACAAGAGGGGTCACACAGAAGATGAGTGCAGGAAAAAACAAGCAAAGAATATGGAGAAGCCAGGTGTTAAGTGTTATGGTTGTGGCACCCCGGGAGTGTACAGAAGCAATTGCTTGAACTGCAAAAGTAAGGAAACGCCACCAAAGCCAGTACAATTTTATTCTATTATTAATAAAACTATAGAAGATGGAGTAAAAATACCTATAATTGAAGTAACTATTAAAAATTCAAATGGGTACGCTTATTTAGACTCCGCGGCTCGTACAAGTATCGCTGGTTCTACATTATACGAAGTATTATTAAAAGAAGGCTACACTTTCACGGACAAAGAAGCTTTAATTAATTTAGCTGATGGCTCCACAAAACACATGAAGCTCAAAGTTATAACCATTGAAATAAATATAGGTATTATTTTCTTTCCATTGCGATAGCGATACATATTGTTCGTACTAAAAACTTTCTTAGTCAACAGATAAAGAATTAGTTAACAAATGACACTATGTGGTCAATATATTCTTGAAGCCTTGTTGTATGTACAAAAAATTATAAACGATTTCAAAACAAATGGTGACTTTCACCAGTATAATACTCGAAACAGAACTAATTTGTGTATGACCAATCAGGCTCCAGAAGATAAACCACTCCTTATATGGAAATTTTATTCGTTTTTAAACTCCCAAGCGCAATTAGAGAATTATCACTAAATAAATTCAAAGCCCTCGTTAAACGTAAATTAATCAATAAAACTTTTTTTAAATTTGACGATTTAAACAAATTGTTAAAGTATCAAACAATTTGTATGACTCAAAACTTGGATATAAAAAGAGAGGCTGAGAGTTTCTTGCCAGTTCTTCTTGCCCGCTATACGCCCTTGACTTTCGAACTGGTAGTAAATGTAAATTTAAAATCAATTTAACATCTTTTCTGTTGACGTTCATAAGTGTACTTGTTCATCGATATGAATAACGTTATTTAAAAATCTCATAAATGATACAGACGCCCAGAGTCTGTTCCACGCCCCATTAAAGGCAGCGCAGACAAGCACCTCTCTGATATTATTAACATCCTCCATTCGGAGAGTGTCATACAATATGTAAGACTGCAAACGAGGAACTGAATCTTATTAGACTATACTTTAAAATAAACCACAGAAATTCCGGCGGCAATAAAAGGCGGCAAAGGGAGCGTTCAAATATTACGTAACGATTTTTGGAGGGGGCGGGTCCTTTTGTAAAACGTTACGATGCGGGGCAGGGATTGAATTACGCGTTATTGTTAATATTATTTTCGTATTTCCAGTACTTTACGTGGTGTAAAGTAATGGTAACTTTTAGGTATAAAGAGTCACTAGGTGGTCACGAAACGTTGGGTACAGAAAAACGTTACAGCGCGTTACATGGGGGGAGGGGGGTCAATAATCTCCAAAAATTGCGTGACGTTATACTTGAACGCTCCCAAAGCACTCGCGAGATATTTGGCAGTGTCCATGCGCATCGGCATCACTTCACATCAGATGAGCCTCCTGCCCGTTTGCTATAAAAGAAAAATCTTACCTGGAGGTTTGACGCTGAACGCAACGGAATATATTATGTCCGCCAAAAGTTTTATATTGTGTCGAGTACTGCAGGAAACCTGCAACATTGTGATTTCTAGGGTAAATACGATCGTTATTATTGCTTAAAAAAGATTATGAGTTACACTCCGATTTTTAATTCCGTAGAATTCTGACAGCTATCATTTTTTGACATGTCAGAGATGGCAAACCTTTTTGGCCGGGCACATTTTTTTTTTTTCAATACGAGTCTGAACATCTGAGGTTATACATACATTTTATTTGTTAGTGAATGAATCCATTTTATTGTTTAACGGCTAATTGTGATAATTACGTCCCTTTTTATCACAAACAGTATAAAACGCACAAATAAAGATAACATTTTATATTTTTAAAAAGGTTTACTTAATCTGAAATTAGTAGACAGTGATGCCAGCTTAAGAATAAAATAAAATAATTAAAGTAAATCGATATACTGTTCGTGATATAGAAAAATTTGTTATATTTGGTATAGGTCACTTGATTAAATTTTTAGATTTGCCTTTATGTAGGTAAAACATAAAAATACGTAGCATTTTATTTTTTATTGTCCTCAAATCGGTCAAATTTGTCCATTTTCCGGTTGAGAGTTTTTTAATAGCAACACTTATGAACTGTCAGAATTCTACGGAATGAAAAATCAGAGTATAGTTGGCTAAGACGTGAAAAATCTAAATTATTATAAGAACACCAGTGGCGAACAACACTGGGTCTAGGCCATAGATTTATCGTATCTGTTTCGTGTTCATTGCTAATCTAATAGGCGAGTAGGTGATCAGCCTTCTGTGTACACTGCCGTCGATTTTATGGGCCTTAGGCCAGTTTCCTCACGGCGTTTTCCTTCGACATAGGAGCGTGTTAAATGCGCTTTGGAAAATTCATTAGTATGCTGGAGTTCAAACCTACGACCTAAGAGATATCCACGCTAAAGCCACTAGTGCAACAGGCTATATGCAAATAGTTAATTGGACAAAAAATATATCAAAAATGTCTGTCGGTCTGCCAAAAATTTCCAAATTTTAGAATTGGTTTTTATTCTTGTCTTCTAGATGTCTACTTACTTCGATAGTATCCAGAACCCGAGGAAGTCCCAATTTATCAGCATCGGGTGCACCCATGACACTGCCTCTTATTAATCGCTGGAGGGCTAAAGGACTCTCGCTCTCTGGTAGGTTGCTCTGAAAATTATAATTTATTTATTTTACAGAATAAGATAATAAAATCATATTATGTTACATTAGAAAACCGCTGTGGTGTGAATAAATGCATAGAATATTTTCAAGTTACTTTTTGAAGCTATACTTCTTTAGGCGCGTTTTGAAAAATTTATGAGAGTGAAATTTTACGATGCGCGCGCACCGTGACACAAAATTAACAGAATGAAGTTGCCCACGGAAGATGCTACGGCTTTGGACATAATTTAAAAACAATATACGAATAATAATAGAATTTATGTTACACTTAATGTAAGAGAATAATAATAAATATTTATTTATTTAATTTTTCAAATGTAATGTGAACTTTATTGACTATAATGACTCCTTTTCCAGTCTTTGATTATTTAATTGTAATTAATTATTTGCATGTAATCAAAAACTATTTTTAATAATGCCAAAGAAGTATAACTTCTTACGCGCGTACATAAGTACACGCACCTCATAAGGGCAAAAAAGAGCGAAATCAGGACTTTCTCGCAGGACTTCACATTTTAGAACGCCAAACGTTAAGGACGGAGTAATAAGCTATAGAAATAAAAAAAAAGGGTGCGTATACTTATGTACGCGCGTAAGAAGTTATACTTCTTTGGCATTATTAAAAATAGTTTTTGATTGCATGCAAATAGTCAATAAAGTTCAGTTTACATTTGAAAAATTAAATAAATAAATATTTATTAATATTATATTTATTATTATTTTCTAATAATTGAATTTCAATCACTACTGATTATAATTCTAACGCACATATAAAAATCGCACTTGTATAATGAAAACACGTGTTTTAAATGTAGAAACTCAAAGCATGTGGATAAATATTATAAATATAAATACACAGTGAACAGAAGCGGCGTGCGTGCCAACATGCGCCACTAACTTCATTCTGTTAATTTTGTGTCACGGAGCGCGCGCATTGTAAAATTTCACTCTCATCAATTTTTCATAACGCGCCTAAAGAAGTATAACTTCAACATGAACATTCCAGAATTGTGCGGTAAGGAAATCAAACCAACTCCCGCCCAACAAATTTCACGGTTATTCCCAGGGATATAAAAAACGAATCGTGGCATATCTATGAGTGAATGAATGAGATTAAAGTACGAATTTTGAAAATAAGTGGTTATATAATAATACGTACTTACATTAACAACTTGGTCATAGTGTGTGCCGACCATAATGACGGGTGAGCCCGGCGCTCGCGCTTGTATTGACCTGTTACAGGAAATATAAGTTGAGGATAGGGATATATAAAAACATACTGAGTTAGAGAGGAGGAGCAAAAACCCAGAATTTCTGGACTGGAGGATTAAACGAGAGACAAAAGACAAAAAGTGCGTTTATCGTTCTTTTTCAAACGGACGCATGATTTATTTATTTATAAAAGCTTGCCAACGCTTGGCACATTAATACATTGACAGAAGAAAAATAAAATACAGTTTTCATTGTGTCAAACACTGGCAAACATAGCATACAAGAAGTAATAAAATTAATTAATCAAAACAATAATAAAATTTAAACAAACACTAAACGAAAATCGCTCTCAAAGTCTGAGGTGAGCAACTATGATGTACGTAACAAATGATTTATTTTATTTATTTAAACGGTAATACTAAATTACACAAAAACATACAAATGAAATAGCTAAAGAATGTTTAATTATAATTTAATACTAAAGTAAAAAAAATCAGTGGCGCTACAACCTTTTTAGGTTTGTTTGCCTTAGACGCTAAAACTTGCCTATTAGGTTGACAAATGATCATGAAATAGACACAGAAAATAACTAAGAACGTTAGAATTTTAATAAATCCTTTACTCAGTCTTGTGATGGATTACAGTTGTTTCTTTTGTACTCCCTATTTGAACTCTGCCGAAATGATGACGTTACAACGCACGCGCCCGCTCATATCAGCGTATACATACGTACCGTGCCGTCTATATCGAACTAGCATACAAAAACGTTGGAATCGGTATCGCTGTCGCTATTGGATACTATTTATTACAGTTTACCATATCATTCTTAGTACTAAATCTACGCTATATGTTACTTACTCTTTTATCTAAAATGTATGACAATTTAGATAAAATTTAAATATATCACGATAAAATAAAATTGGAAAATTTTTAAGCAGAAGCAAACAGCGAATTAGGTTCGAGATAGGCACTTAACAATGCTTTCTTTAAAACCGATCACCTCACTACCAAATATATTCAGCTCCGGATAAGAAATGTTTAATCCGTTAAAATCGCCTTTTAGGCTTTTACAGAAGAGATTTTGAAAAGAGTTGCTGATTTTTTATTCTAGACTACTACCGCTCCTTCTAAAGACCTCTTTGTACTTATAATTAGTAAACCTTTTTAAAACTCGTAAAAAACCTCACCTCAGCCATTGTAGTGCACTGGCCAAGCCCTTTTTGCCATCTGGAACCTTCCACACGACGAGATATAGGGAGCGACGTGAGAGGAAATACTGGTGTGTTGAATAGTATCTGAAAGTGTGAAACCAACATTTAGGTGCGTACGTACAATATATTTAAAAGATTATTCCATTTCGTAAGTGTTGCTACTAAAAGAGTTCTCCACCGAAAAAGGGACATATTTGACTTATTTGAGGGAAATAAAAAAATGCTACGTATTTTTTATGTCTTACCTACAAAAAAGTAAATCTAAATATTTATTTACGCAAATGACCAAAAATAGCAAGTATTTCAATATCACAAACAATATATAGAATTAACTTTAATTACTTAATTTTATTCTTTAGCTGGCATCACTGCCCACTAATTCCAGGTTTAGTAAACCTTTAAAAAAATTTTTATCTTTACATGTGCGTTTTTTACTTAGTAAAATAGATACATTCACTAACAAATAACATGTATGTATAGACTCAGATGTTCAGACTCGTATCGAAATTGAAAAATATGCCCGGCCAAAAAGGTTTGCCATCTCTGACATGTCAAAAAATTGTAGCTGTCAGAATTCTACGGAATTTAAAATCAGAGTATAAGTACTTTACTTCAAACGGTGCAATTGAACTTTTTATCATAAAACGGGGTGAACAGACAGTCTTATGAGATGTTAAGTGATAATGTCGCCCATGGACACTTGCAACACCAAGAGTCATCTAAGGCTGCACTTTTAACCGGGTCCTTTTCAGGGGAGAAACGGGCAGAAGGCTCTTCTGATCTTATGTGACATCGCCGCCCATGGGCACTCTCGATGTTAATCATTCCCTACAGTACCTAAAATGTCCACACGTATTACTTGACTTGCGTCAAATGTATACAAGTAGCGGCACGAAACTCTAGCGCTGACCGTTATTGCGCAGAAGTAAAAAATAAGGTACCTAAGGGGGGCTAGCGGAATGAAGAGCGGGCGCGCGTAGCGTCGATTGGCTCTCCAGTCGCATTCCGTCCCCCGCACCGATACGACGCCCCGCGCACATCCCGTGTACAGTCGCGTCATTAATATTATTGTTACTGTTGTTACGTTTTGTTGTTTTTTGTTACGTTTGAATTTGTTAGTGTTTTGTTGTTTGTTATTTGTTTTTAAGTTTGTTTGTGACTTTAAAGTGAATATGCCTAGAACAAATACTGTTTTGAAAAGACAAGCTAGGAAAATGGTTTAAAAGGGAATCTAACGAATTAATTGATTCTTTGAAACAAATCCAAAGTGAGATTCAGCTTAATATCGTTATTTAGGTAATCATTAATCAAAGTGGCATATAATGTATTGCGTGCGCGACAGTACACATGCGCAGCAATCCCCTCCACGTATCGGCCAGCGCTAGACTTACGTGCCGCTGCCTATACTTATCGTACAGCTACAGGCTACGTACGATCTGATCTGCTAATTTTTTTTAACATACATAAGAGAAATTACTACAGGTATATATAGATAGAGAGCTAATGAATTTCGGTTTCATTTTGACAGTAAACTGAAACAAAACAAATATAATTCATACTCATGCTGTCCCCCAAAATCCCAAGTGCTGAAAGTGACGGGACCTCTAGCTGCTCGTTGTGGTTCAAAGACCCACCAGCCAATATCCACGCCCACAGTTGACATACCACGAGCGCTGCGGTTGCCCATACGCTTTGCCCAATGCTACAATAAATCATATAAAGGTGAAACATTTAAACCTATTTATTGAACTAAAAATTAGGCAGGTTAGAGATAACAATTTTAGGTTGCAAAACAGTTTTGTTGCAGTGTGTATTAGTGAGCGTTCAAGTATTACGTAACGTATTTTAGGAGGGGTGGGGGGTTCCTTTTGTGAAACGTTACGATGCGGGGCGGGGATTAAATTACGCGTTATTGTTAATATTTTTTTCGACTTACACCACATAATAGTATCTGAAGAGTCACTAGGTAGTCACGAAACGTTTTACTATACTTGGGTACTGAAAAACGTTACGGCGAGTTACATGGGGGGGGTCAATAATCTCCAAAAATTGCGTTACGTAATACTTGAACGCTCCCTAATGTGAACACCATTTTTTGATATATCTTTTTATATCATTAACATATAGGTACCTATTCACGTATTTGGCAACAAATATGAATAATTCGAATGCAAGAATGTGTCTTATGTTATTAGGAAAAACACCTTTTGTATGGCAATCAAGGTTTATAATAATTTACCAAGAACATTCAAAGATCTTCCTAGTAGAATTTTTTTTTATCTTATTGAATTATTGTATGGCTTATAAAATAAATAAGATTAAAAAAAAACCAAGAACATTCAAAGATCTTCCTAGTAGAGTTTAAAAATAGATTTAATGTACTATTAATAATTATTTGTTTTAAAAAATGTTTTAAATTCCGACTAGTCAACACTAGTAAACAATTTTTCTTTTAATATATATTTTACATGTTTGTTAAATACTAAACTCGAACTCGAAAACCTCAACTGAATTTTTGAAGTGATACTTCTTAAGGCGCATGAGGGTAAAATATTTACGGATGAAACGTAATTATAATATTAGCGTCACGAAGATGTGCAGCGTTTTTGGCGAAGAAAGGGAGAGAGCGATTGAGAGAGAGAGAGTGAGAAGGGCGAATTATAGAAAAACTGTTTTTAAAATTACGTAAAGAGAATTTATGAAATATTAGTATTTTATATTTTATGCAAAATAATTTATTGAAATCTTAAATGACGAATTGAAAATGCCATGTGTTTTTATTATTGAAGAATTAAAATTAAAATTTGTATTAATTTTCGTAACTTTTAATATTTTAATGACAATTAAATTCCTAACATAATATCTTCCTCTTTCCCTCCCTCTAAGTCTCGGAAATCTAAAGTTTTAGATTTGTATAAATATGAATAAGATTTAAAAAGTAGTTTGCCAAAGATGTTTCACTTCTGACATGTGTACTTTGCACGCACTTTTTTTTGGAAAATAATTTAGGGCCAGGAGGCCTCCAGACCTAAGTCAATCAGAAAGCTGATCCTGAGGCTATTGGCCTATTAGAAAATAATTGTCACTAAACAGATCAGACCTAAAAGCTTTAAGCGTTCAGCATGAAAAGTATTATTCTAAAAGATAACTCACATCGGTTGGTTTCCTTCGATGTTGTATGCCTGACTCTTGTCGAAGACATTCTAGTAAACTTGTCTTCCCAATACCCTAAAAAAGATAAAGCAGTGTCACAAGTTTCCGAAGACAACTTACAACTTATTGGCCTTAGAATAAGTGGATGTGCTCATGGTCACAATTACGTAGGTAATTTTTTTGACACTTATGGACACAAGCTAGTTCTTATATCAAGGGAATATAGGGGAGACGTTTTCAAGTCTCACACGGCTGGATATTTAATTTTTCAAATATTTTAGAAATAAATATAGCCCCTACTCAATGTACTATTCTAATATTGTGAAAGAATACTAGACCAGGGTCGATAATTTTTAAAAAAGCACCCTAATTTTTAACCGAAAATTCACCCGTCAAAATATCAGCTTTTTTCAAAAAGTTGGTGTGCTTTCAGTTCGTTGAAATCTCTACTTTCCTCTTCTAGTAGGGAAGGGGATAACTGGTCTGGGCGTTACTGCATACGATTTTTTGCATTTTCTGAGAAGATTTACTATAGTAATATATATATATTTTTTTACCACAGGAAAGTAGAGATTTCAACGAACTGAAAGCACACCAACTTTTTGAAAAAAGCTGATATTTTGACGGGTGAATTTTCGATTGAAAATTAGGGTGCTTTTTCGATATTAATTCAAAATAAGGTGAAAAAATTATTATTTCAAATCAAATAAATTACAGCGTATTAAAGACATAAAAAGGTAAGTTTTCACCAAATTTCGTGGGAAAAAAATACATTTTGTAAAAGATAAAAATTAAAAACCAAAAACTTGGTTTTTTTGTATTTTTCACATAAATTTTGAGGTAATGTGAAAAATGTGTAAATACAAAAGTTTTAGATCTTTTTATTACCTACAACTTTGCTATTTGAGATTTTTCCATAGGACTTTTAGTTTTGCCGGAAATCAAGATTAACCGTTTTTTACCCTTAAAACTAAAGAGCGGCGGAGAGATTATTGCCAGTTCTTCTCTTCCGTTCTACGCCTTTGATTTGAGAACTGGCAGTAAATGAAAAATTAGAAGCATTTAATGTATACTTCTTTTTGACGTTCATAAGTGTACATTGTGTTACCTACATGAATAAATGATTTTTGCCTTGACTTAATGTCTTAATTATTGGACCCATAATAACAACTTGCCGAACTGTTTTATAGAGTGCGTGTGAGTTTAGTAATATACGACAAAGGTCTATCGGTGTGAAATCTCTGTGTGATCAGAGGTCTACAACTGTCAAAATAATTACTAACGTATGACCTATTTCGTATAAAGAAAAATTTGGTTTTCTGTTAAGTCGGTTTACGGACGATAATTTTACGTGATAACTTCATAAAACAAAATTATGAATTGAATTAAATTATTATCATTATTTTATATACAAAGTAGTTAATTAAAAATATTTTTTGTTTTCGCGAAATTAACATATATTTGCCCTGGTTAATTCAAATAATTAAATAATATATGAGATTATATCGCTAATTAAATTCTTAGAATTATTTACTTTAATTCATCAATGTAAACAATTATTTCTGAATTTTATGTTTGATTTCAATAAACAGACCTGTACTCCAACTATCATAAGCTTCATCCGTGCGTAGGGCTTCGCTTCGTGCAGCACCGATCTCAAAAAGCCTACAACGTCGACACTGCGGCTTCGCCCCCCACGCACGACGGACCGAAGGGGCTCCGAAAGACAACAACCCACTGTATTGAGATTCCACAGGCGGGATAGAAGTCCCATTTGTGGTGGCAGGTCTGTTATGTCTGCGGGGAGATATTTTGTTAAGTTAGCATATTGAACAACTACCAAAAAAAACAGTGGCGCTCAAATCTCTAGGTATTTTAATTATTAAATTATGAAGTGGATCTATACAATTTTCCAACGTGATATTGATACGTCAACCAACCTTTATTCCCGCTCAAGTTAAGAACAGCCAGGTTGCCAAGCAAGTATATGGCCGGTGGGACAGACTTCAGAAGATTACAAGACACGTCCAACATCGAGAGGAGTGGGAAGAGAAGACGCCGTTTGAGGTGACATTCTCCTTCTGACTGTGAAAGAAACCGTATATTTATAACGTATTATGACATTTGACGAGTCAGGTGTGTAAAAATCTTGGTAGTTCACCACATATATATGACAGTTATCAAAAAACTGTTTTTATAAAACTTTCTATCTTTTTAAAACGAGGCACTCGCGTTCATAACCAGTAATATGCATATGTCGCAGCCAATTAGCTTAATAAGCCGTTATATTAAGAGCCTAGCCTATTAACTAAACGGCGCCGTTTAACTAGCGGCCTGAAAGATATTCAGCCAGTTGATCTAACAGCTAGGCAGATGACTTGGATCGATGACGTTTCATTACTTGCCTAGCCTGTTGACTGTTAATTTAAATTTAGTTCCACATTCTGACACTCTCAAACTCGATACGAAACTCTTCAAACTGTCATTATGGCGTCGGCAAACCATAAATTTGATGGAGTTTTCCAAATTTTCATGAAAAACAACAAGTACAAGGGAAGAGTGTAGTGACAATAATTTATTATTATTTATTACAGAAATACATACATTATCCTTATATATGTGAATTTGACATAAGCAATTAATTTTTAAAAGAAATATTTTTTGTCATATTTTTTATCCTCGTTTCATTTCTGCCAATTAATGACTATCGTAATGGCCTAAGCATTAGCCTGCTAGTTTATCAAACGTTGTAACAAACGCTACGGCTGAATATGTTTCAGGCCGCTAGTTAAACTACGCTGTATAGTGAAGAGGCTAGGCTATTAATTGAACGGCTTATTAAGCTAGTTGGCTGCGACATATCGTCGTTATTACTTCCATTTCATTGAATGGGTGTTCTAACCCATAAGTCTGCCACAAGGTATTGATATGTAATAGAGTAGAGTTATAAAATTTAATCGTCTATCGATTTGTGTGCGATTTAAAGATTTTCATTCACTTTCTATCACGACTACACCCATTCACTGACTATCCCGTAATTTAATACTATATATTAATCGCATACAACATAGTTTCGTTATTCGATTCCCGGCAAATACAAAAAAAAATGCATCGCGTATGTGTTTTAAGATGTTATTTCGGATTTGAGTGAAAATAAATAAAAAATATTACTTTAAGTAACATTTTCCTCTTTTATTAAGATCGATATTTCATAAAGACATATTATTTATAACTTACCCATTCATCATCGTTATCATCATTCCGATGATCAGCCCTAGTCGCGAGACCATCATCATCAGTGGTGAGTTGGATTCTGGTTAACATATTGTTTGCTAGGATCTGAAAAAGGTTACATAGTTCGTTCAACGCCTTGCATTCATCGCCTGTTTGCCCTATATCGATGTCAGGCACAGAAGAATGACAATTGTCGACTTTGACCGAACGGGAAATGGTAGGTTGTGGTATGGTGGTGGTGATGAGCACTTGAAACTGAACTATAGACCGCATACCGTACCGCATTTTCTTTTTACCACTATTAAAGAATCCAGTGCTTGCAGTGGGATACACCACCATTGATAGTAAGTCTGATCGATTCTTGGATTTCTTTTTTTATTATACTGACACGCGACAGCCGAACCAGCGCATATTATTTTATAGAGGGAAGGGAGCATCGCTTCCGGATCCGCCCAAACAGTCGTATTGTAGTCCTTCGAGCCGGACATCTATTTAATTGTTTAAATCATGAAACCAGAAATTTTCCTATATATAGACTTACCAAGGTCCTTAAAGCTTCGAGTCTTAGATGACGCCGAGCTGGACAGGCAGCGCTAAGCAACTGGGACCTAACAGAGCCCCCTGAACGAGGCCTTATGCGGCCAACGCCTCCATTGGGGCAATAGCACGCCAATGGGGATCCGTCGCTGCCAAAACTTTCCATCTGGAAAATGAAGAATAAGATGTATAAAAAAGGAGGCTGTATATTTTAACGTTAAAAAATAAATAGAATCATTTAATCGACACTCGCACGCAACTACAAAAACTGGGCGTCCGATTTGTACGTAGGTTCGCGAGCACGCCCGTATGCTACACTATTGCTGTCACAAAGTTTTGAAATTCAAATATGTTTGGAATCGCCAAATTTTTGTGAATGGTGCTATGATACTAGCTATTACTTCTAACCCCATAAGGGTCCAGTATTACGTAATGAATTTGGGTTGAAGTCTTGCAAAACGTTACAGGGAAGTGGGGGGTTTGAATTACGCGTTGCGTAAACTTTTTCTAACCTTTCAGAACGGTCGTGTAGAGAGATTCTCTCTTTGTTTCCACTTGAATGATTTTATTCAATGGTCAAGTAACATTTTACTAGGGGCGAGTGGATGTACAGAAAAACGTTATATCGCGTTACATGAGATAGGGTTCAAAAATATCAATAAATTGCGTAACGTAATACTTTTTTTTTTTTTTTTTGGACAATTCACACCATTTGACCTAGTCCCAAGCTAAGCTGGTGAAGCTTGTGTTATGGGTACTAGGCAACGGATATACATTATACATACATATTATAGATAAATAGACATATAAATACATATTTAAACACCCAAGACCTAAGCACAACACCAAATGCTCATCACATCGATGTTTGTCTCAGCGGGACGAACCGACCCATGGATTCGCAGTCAGGGGTACTAACCACTAGACCAATGAGCCGTCAAATACTTGAACGCTTCCTAAGGCTGTTGGGCTGTTATTATTTAGCAATAGAATATTTCAAAACATTTAAAAACCATTTCAGATAATTTATTAGTGACTACAAAACCTAAACAAATTGTTATTTTTAATTTTGTTTAGTATTGGCTTTAAACTTTTAAGAAGCCCCAAAACGCTTTTGGAGACAAGATGGCGTCGCACCTATCCGTACCATATTTATACAAAAACCTGCAGTTTTTGTAACTGCATAAATTACGGTTAGGATTAGACGAAAACATTATTTACGAGCTACGTCACCGTTGATTCTATTCTGTGAACGTTTTGTGTCACGTGGAATTTTTGAAGTGAAACTTCTTTATCGGGGTTGGAAAAAAATTTAGTGTAACATTTTTGCGTTACGCGTCACATTTTTCCGTTACGCGCCATGTTGCTTTTTGAAGTCAAACTTCTTTATCGGCGTTAAAATATGACATATAGTATGTTTTTGACTTTGAAGTTTGACAACGGATTCCATTTTCGAAGTCAAACTTCTTTATCGGCGTTAAAATATGACATAAAGTATGTTTTTGACTTTGAAGTTTGACAACGGATTACATTTTCGAAGTCAAACTTCTTTATCGGCGTTAAAATATGACATATAGTATGTTTTTGACTTTGAAGTTTGACAACGGATTCCATTTTCGAAGTCAAACTTCTTTATCGGCGTTAAAATATGACATAAAGTATGTTTTTGACTTTGAAGTTTGACAACGGATTACATTTTCGAAGTCAAACTTCTTTATCGGCGTTAAAATATGACATATAGTATGTTTTTGACTTTGAAGTTTGACAACGGATTCCATTTTCGACTTGAAATTTGCTAATCGCAATTTGCAGCAATTAATTTGTAAATTGTATGCTAGGCAGTGTATCAAAATTTACGGTGTTTAAAGAAATAGTTTCTACTAAGGTCATAAAGAAGTTTCACTTCTTACGTGTGAACACCTAGTACACGCACACATTTTTTTTTTAACTATTCTTAAGGCATTTAAGCCACGTTTTATACAGATAACTCTCAGAAATAGTTTGTTTAATACATTCAAACAGATTAAATATCAAAATTACCTGTGGTAAACTCGGCCAGCAGGAAATCTCATTGTGACTTAAGTCCAGTTGGCGAAGATTTGTTGGATATGACGTCACATATGACATAGATCTGAAAATATTTAAATATTTATGAAAGTTAAAACATCATTCTAAATTAGCATTTACTATCAATTTTCGAATCAGGATAACTGACAACAAATCTCTTCGCCACCGCTTTTAATAGGCCAATCCTTTTTGCAGTGGTTGCACCTAGCATCTCAAGACATTTAACACCCCATGGACATGACAGGCAGAAAGCTCACAAGTGCGTTGCGGTCCTTTTAAGGATTGGTACGCTCTTTTTTCGAAGGACCGTAAGCCTCAAGAACTTAAGTCGTAAGAAGTGAGGTCTAGGGTTCGATTCCCGGGGGAGGAAATTAGGTAAATTGAAAATTATACCTTAATCCATTATAGGCCATATTGAGTCTGGTCAAAGCTGGAGCCCTGCATGCTAACGGTGGTGGCACGCACGAGAACTGGTTGTGAGAGAGATTGAGAGACGCCAGGCAACTAGCTCCAGGTCCCACTGGGGCTCTAACGGGAGATGGAGCCCTGGCCCCGCGCCAGGCGTGCGCACGACGCGCTTCCGACCAGCTGAAAATATTTAAGATTTTGGCGAAACCATTTTTGTTTTAGGTCGGCAATGTCCAATTAAAGAAAAGTGCTTAAAAACTAACTACTATTTTATAAAGAGGAATAACAGGAACTTCTAATTTGACAAGCCACGCTTAAAGTATCGAGTAAATTTAGTTTGTACGTAAAATCGAATAGTAAAAATCTCTACTATTCTAGTACGAGAACTTCACATGATATATCTAAAATAATACAGTCTAATTTTCTCAGCACATTTAAAATCTATATATATATATATAAGAAAAATGGTCTTCGTTTGAAGTCCTTCACGCCTAAACCACTGATCGTATCGACATGAAACTACTGCCATTCGATGCAATGCGAAATTTTTCCTAGATGGTTTATGGCTTAAACGTCAACATCTGTTAAAAACTCGATTTTCGAAAATTTGGAATTTTCTTAGCGGGAAGTTAAAAAGAAGAATAATAAAAATATGAAAAAAAAAATTAAACATTTTATTTATTTCCTATTTTAATTCGCCCAGCAAAGCGGGCGGGAAACGGCTAGTTCATTATAATTGAAACTTTACATAGAAACTCGCACGCAACCACAAAACTGGTCTTGCTCGTTCCGCGCGTATGCGTGCGTGCACGCAGGTAACCTGGAAGTAATATACGCCCAAGTGCGCTGTGTCTTATTTTTAGACGCCCGGATGTTTAACTCTTTTGAAATCGTTAAAACATTGAATCATTTTTTTTTTGTAAAATTGTATGGTAACTACTTTAATAAATTAAGAATGTTGACTGTTCGTTTTAATGTATTTTTTTCTTTTACATATATGAACCTACAACAGTTCCTGACGATTTTATTCTTTAAATACATCAAATAAAATTCTCGTGACACAATCGTATTTATGTTACCTTTATATCGTAAAGTTTGTCATTAACGCTATGGATAATATTCAAAGATAAGACACGTCAAAAACGTATTGAATTCATGAATTCTTAGAGATTCTAGAATAATAAGCACTCTTACATAGCGTTTCCAGCTCGGTTCCCAAGCCCAGGAACGTCTTCATCATCTGGTGTTGATTCACTGTTTTCTATGGACGGACTCCGTGACGCCGACTTCTAGAAAACAATAGTTCAACCGCAAATAGATATTAAATGAAATATATGAAAGAGGTTTACTTCAACTTCAAAATTTTGTTGGAAACCCTATGCTAGATTTAGTTACTGTATGTTTGTCCACATATTTCTCGAAAATCGAGATGGTAATTTCGATCTGGCCTATTCAATAGAAATATTAGATTTTTGTTACACGTTATATAAGAATGGTATACGCTCCGTATTTTCCAATAAAAAAAAACTAGTGGCAGTACAATCTTTTATTGTTTCTAAAAGCAAGTAGGTAGCTCTTCTGTGCTTAACTCAGTCGACTTTGAAGGGTCTTAGGCATATTCCTCACGATATTTTCCTTCACCGTATGAACTAGCGAAGCTAAAGCCACCATACCGACACTGCTCCTCTTTGCCAACACTCCTCTTCCTACAATAAACTACACCAGCCAAGTTTCGACTACGAATTGACGCAACTGCCAAATTAAAGTTCGTTGCATGTGATTGAACCTGAAAATTTCTGTTACGACTTACCGCTTGTGAGAATCCATAAGGCGCGGAATTGGTGGATGGCGAAGCACCCGGTAGAGGAGAATCTGAAGGGGACGAAACACTGGAGGCACTGTCATTTGACTGAAAAAAAAGAAGAATGTAAGACGAAAGATGCAAAAGGAATCGATTGTGCTTCCACAAATGAAATAATATTTATTTAATGTGTCCCCAATGTATATGATAATGACGGCTCATTGGTCTAGTGGTTAGTACCCCTGACTGCGAATCCATGGGTCCCGGGTTCGATCCCCGGCTGAGACAAACATCGATGTGATGAGCATTTGGTGTTGTGCTTAGGTCTTGGGTGTTTAAATATGTATTTATATGTCTATCTATCTATAATATGTATGTATATCCGTTGCCTAGTACCCATAACACAAGCTTCAACAGCTTAGCATGGGACTAGGTGAATTGGTGTGAATTGTCCAATTAAAAAAAAAATTAATACGTGTGAGATGGGTACACATAGATTTATCTTGTCTGATTATAAAATTCGGTATACTGATATTTCAATATTTTATATAGGATCATATAACTGTCTAGGTGACTGGTCGTACTTGAATTCGTGTATGCGATGAAGTTAGTTATCCTTGTGCTTTGTTTTTATGTAATAGGAGGCAAACGGGCAGGAGGCTCACCTGATGTTAAGTGATACCGCCGCCCATGGACACTCACAATTCAGGGGTGCCCCAGGAAGGGGCGTAAGGGGGTTGCCGGCCTTTCAGGAATTGGTGAGCGCTCTTGTTCTTGAAGGACCCTAAGTCGGGGGAATGTGGTTCGGAAATACTTCTGTGGGCAGCTGGTTCCACATAGTGGTGGTGCGCGGCAAAAACTGCCTTAGAAAACGCTCTGTTGTGGAACGACGGACGTCGAGGTGATACGGATGGTATTTTGTATTTTGCCTTGACGTCCGATGATGAAACTCAGCTGCAGGTATTAGAAAACCGAACAACTCCTCTGAACACTCTCCATGGTAAATGCGGTAGAAGATGAGAGAGATCCCACATCTCTACGCAACGCCAAGGGATCAAGCCGCACGGAAAGTGACTGGTCGTCGACGATTCGAACCGCTCTTCGTTGAATACGGTCAAGTGGAAGGAGCTGGTACTGGGGAGCTCCCGCCCAGAGGTGAGAGCCGTATGCGCTTTATACCCCATTGGGGGCCGGATTTGCGCTTTATATAGTTGCTAGTCAGCGGTGGCCCGGGAGTGGGAAGTACCGTCTCGCCTTGGGGCCGCGGCTGGGGGGGAGCACACCAGCAGCTCTTTTGGAGGGCTAATTTAGGCCTTCCTTCCAGATGACCGCGAAACTGAACGTTATTCGATATGTCAACGCCCAGGGGTTATTCCGGGCGATGCTAGCTGAGGCTTTAAGGAGAGTGTCTTCAAAGAGGGAGAGTAGCGACAAAGGGAGTTTTTTAGCGGAAAACGCGCATACTTGTGTCTTCTTGGGGTTAAATTGGACTAGATTTAGTCTACCCCAGTCCGAGACTCCACGTAGAAGAGTTTCAGCTTCAGACACAAGTTTGTTCCGGTACTCATCGACAACAGCCCGAGAAATACCTGCCCGGCCAGTGTAAAAGAGTATCCCCAGTGCTGTCGTCCGCATAGCAATGAATGTTGCTAAGCTGCAACATATCATTGATATGCAGAATAAACAGGGTGTCGGGGATAGGACCAGCTTGTGGGACCCAGCATTCACGACGGTTTCGGGGCGGAGCATGCTCCGTCGATGACGACTTTGATGCTCCGATCAGCGAGAAAGCTGGAAATCAGTTGCTTTTCTCAGGGAGCCCATAGGCTGGAAGCTTCGAGCGTGTTGTTCCTACAAGAATGTAAGTGCGTGCTCCTATTTCACCATGCCTCCTGCTGATAGAGGACAAATCTTTGTTTTTAATTTATTTTATTATTGTTTATTACTTAAGACGTCATGTGGAACATGGTGTAATGGTTGCAGCTCCTTACAAACGTTCTGTAAAACAAAAAACTTGGCGATTAAAAAGAGTGGCGGAGAGTTTATTGCCAGTTCTTCTCTTTCGTTCTACGCCCTTGGTTTGAGAACTGGCATTAAATGTAAAATTAGAAGCATTTAATGTTTATTTCTTTTTGACGTTCATAAGTGTACATTGTGTAACCTTTACGAATAAATGATTTTTAACTTTGACTTTTGACTTTGACCCAAAGTACCCAAAGTCGAGATTTACATGGTTGAAGCTCTCTTAAATGAAGAGTACAGAGAAATTGCAGAAACCGTGTCAGAACTGACTCTACGGTTTCAATGTGGGTTTTGTAAGAGACCAGAATACAGTCAGACGTAAACTAAAACTTAAATGGAGTTTACAAAAATTACAACGCAAAAAATATTTTTGAAGTTATACTTCTTTAGGCGCGTTATGAAAAATTGATGAGAGTGAAATTTTACGATGTGCGCGCACCGTGACACAAAATTATCAGTATGGGCGCCGAGCGTGCGCGAGTGAGATGGGAATAAGACAATCTACAAGTAAAAAGAAATAGAATATGCGTGACGTTAGCAGCTATGCCAAGAATTTTGAATGACCATAATTGTCATTTGTAGTACCTTTTAAACAAATAAAGGAGTTTTAATTATTTTTTCAAAGAAATTTAGCAATGCTTTTTCACAAAGACCTATTGTTTCTTAGTTAAAAGGTTATGCCTAGTTATTAAATTGAATGAATAATATAATAAAATAATAAATAATAATTATTACTAATATTAATTAATAATCGAATAATATACTAAATATTAAAAATTATTAACGTTAAATATTTTTTATTTATATTAAAAAAAAATAAAGAAAGCCAAAGAAGTATAACATCTTACGCGCGTACATAAGTACACGCATCCTTTTTTTAAATAAAATGTGAAAATACCTCCTCTCCTGTGGGTAGTTCCTTCAAGTGGTTCAAGGCAGCGTTGAGGTCCCTCAAACTGGGGGCACTCCACATATTCGCTGGGAGCGTGCGCAGTTTATTATTCGACACGTCAAGGCTCGTCAGAGCTGGGAGAGAAAATAGCTCCGGTGGTAACTCTTCGAGGCGATTATCCTGAAAGAAACATTTGAAAGGTTCAATCCCTAAGTCAAAAACCCATTAATTCTACTCAGGGTCAAGCTGGAAACGCAACGTGCGTTGTGAATGTCCATGGGCGGTGGTATCACGTGGTGTATACGGTTTCCTAACTATGTTTTAATTCGAACACAGAAACAATTATAGAAAGAAAAACATCTATCTTTTTTTACTGAAAAACCGATATTAATAAGCAAAATACGTATAAATAGAAGTCAATATCTCCAATATCTCTAAGTAACAACAGCTAGTATAAACAAATATACACAAATGCCATCACATTCATTATCATCATCGTCACCAATGGCTGACATTCCCTTATGGGCGATCTTTAGCCATCGCAATATCCTTGGGTCCAACTTCGAACACCTATTGCTTCGAGGTCCGTGATAGCTGCATACCACCAACGCAGCCACTACCGAGTTTTCTCTTGCCACCAGGTTGTGGGTTCAGGACCTTGCAGTTCCGTCCGACCACTTGAGCCTGTTGCATTTTAAGAATTGGACGCTATTAGCGTGCCAGTTCTTAAAAATCCGGCAACGCACTAGCGAGCCTTCTGGCAATGTGAGTGTCCATGGGCGGCGGTATCACTTAACATCAGGGTAAAAAAGTGCGTACGTACAAGGTGCACATGTCAGAAGCGAAACTTCTTTGTAAATTAATTATTGAGTAATTAAGCTGCCCGAATCCCATAATTTAATTTTGCCAGTCTTTCTATATTAATTAATGATACTAAGGCTAATTAAAAACCAGAAATACCACCATAAATATGTTAACAATTACCAAATAATATAATAAATTTGTAATTATCATAATGGCTAACTTATGCCCACATTTTCTAAAATAGCCAACTGGGTCTTAGCAAAAAAGGCCTTGATTCTGAGCCCTTATAAAAATACAAAACCAACAAAATATAGTAATTTAGTTACTTAATAAAATAATAATGATATTGATATATATTAAAAGTACCATAAGTGTTCAAGTATGAATAATTGCACCAAAATATTATACTAGCACATCTTTATTAAAGAAAAAAAAAACGTTGCACATCTTCGTGACGTTCCGTAAAATTTTTACCCTCCTACGCGTAAAGAAGTTTCACTTCAAAAATATAAGCATCATCAAGGATTTTATAAAGTTCTTCAGTGAAGCGAATACGTCAAACACCGGCTTCGAAAAAAGAGCCAAAAATTCTTCGAAGAACCTTCCGCTCAAAAGTAAGGATGAAATGAGGAAGACAAGATCTTCTTGTTAAGGCCCAGGTTTCAGAGCCATAAGCAAGTTATCCAATTCATAAAAATACCTGCAAATATAGTTCCTGCAAAACTGGCGCCGTATAAACACTGCTGCTTTTCTTATCTCTCTTTTTTCTTCTCCCTCCGTCATAGTCTTCTTCAAACGGATCTTTTGCTGTTGGAAGCCGCTCCAGCTTGTTTTGAGCGGCGTTCAAATATCTAGAATAAACAAATTTGGTCGACTTCGTCAAGTTTGGCTAGACTTTGCGACGTCTTCAACAATAAACGTTTTATTTCAGGAAACATAAAACCATAGGTACTGAAACTTTCTAACTATGAATACTATACAAAATTTGGTTGTATAGTTTTTGAGTTTACTATTCATACAGGCAGAGGCGACCAGGATTATATAACACATAAAAATATTAGATTTTTTCAAAATTTACTTAAAATGGTTGTACAAAGGATCACAGTTTAAAATATTCTCTTTTAATAAAAAATCTGAAACACACACAACTACAATTAATGAAAAATAAATAAATTCGTTAAATGGTTTAATCTAATATATAAAGTTCTCGTGTCGCGGTGATTGTGGTTAAACTCCTCCAAAACGGCTCGAACGATTCTCATGAAATTTTGTGTGCATATTGGGTATGTCTGAGAATCGGACAACATCTATTTTTCATCCCCCTAAATGTTAAGGGTAGTCCACCCCTATTTTTTTTTTTTAATTTTAGATAAAAAAAATATTTTTTTTAGCATTAAAAAATTCATACAACCCCTAATTTTAACCTTCTACGATCAACCCCTATTTTTTATTATAAATGATAAAGATGGCAAAACGACGTTTGCCGGGTCAGCTTGTTATTTATAAAAAACATTAAAAAAGGAAACCTGCTCAATTTTCTGTAAGTACCCTACAAAAATTATTTTTTTCCTATAATTTTCCGAAAGCATCAACAAAAAATCTTGGTAATGACAACCTTCCTTACCTCAGGCTCATAAGTGAAAACAATTCCCTGGGCAGTTCTCTCAACTCATTGTTAGCTACTTCGAGTCTCGTCAGGGCCAATAAGGCGTTGCCATTCGTGCATAATTTTGGATTCACACGGGACGCAGCGGCACGTAACCAGCTCATACTGAAAACCCAAAATTAGAAAATTAATTAAATTTCAAAAAACAATCAATTTCAATAAAACAATAATAATAATAATTTATTATTATTATAGTTAATAACACAGATCAAATAAACATGATATTAATAAATAAACAGCCTACGCGTGCACTTGTCTACTGAGCCGAAAAGCGTACGCACAAACTGCCTATACTCTGATTTTTTGAAAGGTCGGCAACGCACTTGCGAGCCTTCTGGCAGTGTGTGTCCATGGGCGGCGGTATCACTTAACATCAGATGAGCCTCCTATTACATTATTAAAAAAAAATATTTCTGTAGAATTCAGTGTTGCTACTAAAAAAGTTCTACACCGAAAAAGCAATGACAAAAATGCTACGTATTTTTTGTTTCACAAAAAGGTAAATCTAAATATTTACTTACTCAAGCGACCTAATACAAAAATAACAAATATTTCAATATCACGAACAGTATATCTTTACTCATGGGTTTTTTTTTTTTTTTTTTAAAAGGGGGGGGGTTGCCCTTTTCCGGAAGGAGGTCCCCAGACCGGCGCTGCATCGCATGGTGTTGCCATTTATGAGTAAAAATTTACCTATTTTATTTACATTTAGCAGATGTAATTTATCAAATAATACTATTTTCTGCTTTGATGAAAAAAAAAAAATTTTTTTTTAAAAAGTAAATTTTTATTTACTTATATTGCGGTGTTCTGGCATTACTTAAGGTAGTAATAGCTACAAAAATAAATGTTCTATTAGGGTTTTATGGCACGCACCAGTTCGAAGAGTGTATTGAAACAGCAATTGGTTTCAGTATCACTAGCAGTTGACAAAATTATTCGGTCCATCACTTCATCCATAAGGCCGTATTTTTTAATATTCCTCCTCCCTAAATGTTCGAATGCGAGCACTGAGCTGTAAATCTTCAGCCGTAATAGAACCCAAAGGCCTCTTTATATTTAATATTTCTTTTGGTCTTGGCCACTTCTTATCCGCCACCTTTCTTTTTACAAGGCTCCAGACATTCTCAATCGGGTTGAGGTCACAAGAAGACCTAACAAATATTTCAATATCCGGTGGACCTTATTTTGTTTGATTAGCTCATACAGCACAACTTTTCCAGGTAAAATTAACCTTTTGCGAATATACTTTTTTTTTTACATAAAATGTTTCTTTATTTGGGGGGGAAGGGGGGGAGCGTTATCCATTACCACAAGCGACCTGTACGTTTATTAGTTTTTCCGTACCCATTTTAAGAAATTTGCTGAGTTCATGTCATCGTGGGTAATCTGAGGACTTTGATTGGGATTTGAACATTAATAATGCACCATTTATGAATCCATCTTTTGTTCCCGCATGAGCGATTATCCAGCGACTCCTGATGATTCTGAGACGGAACATTCCTGGCTCCTCCTCACTCTGCCAACAACGTTTTGTATGATAAGTATTGTGTATATAGGTCTCATCTAAGTATACAACTGGTCGTTTTTCCACAGTGCGATTTATTCGTATTTTATTCAAATATCTTGAGCCATGCGGTAATGTCGTGGCGTTCCATAAGTAGTTTTGTCTGATTGAATGCTTGTACTTGAAACCAATTCTATTTAATATCCTGGCAATGTTGTGATTTCCTGATAATTGATTCCTCTGAGACTGCCCTAATTTAAATGTTGGTAATTCTTTAGTAGAGTAAAAACTTAAATTTTGGATAGGAAATGAAGTTAGTGAATTTTGGATGGGGACTTTGGGTTACAATTTTTTTGAAGTACACGGTGTTACACTTGTTGTAATTCTTGATAATTTTCTCTGACACACCTGAATTAAATTATGAACAATTAAAAATAATAGTAACTTTAATTTATAATGCTTATGTAATATATTTTTAATTTATTACTATTTCATCACGTTATGTATTTGTTCAATTTTGTCGTAAAAACGAATTTATATTATCATAAAACTCCCATCAATACAGCAAAAATTATTAAATGAACTCTAAAAGTACCTGTTATGGGGCAACTCTCTTCCGAAATTGTTTAGTGGTATTAAAACACTTTATTCTTTGTTCCTTACAGAACTCTTTCACCTTTAATATAATTTGACCGAACTTTTTACAACTTTTGGCATTGTAATCAATATTTAAAATGCACTAAGATAGTTAAAAATTCACAAAAATCTACAAACAAACGAACTTGATAAATGACGAATGAAAATTCCGACCTGTCAAATTTAGTTCAAAATATGGGACTTCTATAAAAGGGACGTAATTATAATTCACCTTTAAACCACTTTTAATATGGAGCTCCGCAATAAATAAAATGTATGATTAAACTCAGATGTTAGGACTCGTTTTCGAGTTGAAAAACGTGCCCGGCCAAAAAGGTTTGCCATCTCTGACATGTCAAAAAATGGTAGCTGTCAGAATTCTACGGAATTAAAAATCAGAGTATATACACATACCGCAATCTGGTTAATTGACACCTCAGCTCCCTCCAATTGATCATAACAGGCGTTGAGGGACATCTCGCACTGAATGACAAAGCAGTGTCAACGTCTTTTCCGGATATGACGGTCTCGGAGATCGCTGATTTGTTCAGCTTATACTCGGGATCCGGGTAAGCCTGTAAAACCACATGACACTATATTTAAACATCTTCATATATATTACTAGCAGACTCGGCCAAGCGTTGCAGTGGCTAAGTTTTTTGTTATATTACATAGCAGGACCACCATGCTTTTTTGGTGGAAATGCCATTAAATTATAGCTTATGTGAAACGTCGGTACTTTCAACACAGCGCCATCTGTTAGAATTGTGACTATCAAATAATAAACAAATATTTTGCAATAAAATAATATTGCGGGTATAAATTGAGATGTAAGCTATCCTATCTTTTAAGCTAGATCAAACTACACACGGTGTGCAAATTCGATTGATATCGGTTCGGTTGTTTAGGAGTCCATAGCGGACAAACAACGTGACACGTAATTTATATATATTAAGATATAGGGTGTTTCTGTTAACTGATAGCAAAAGGGTTCCTAAATTTCGAATGCTTATGTGCGCATAGTTAAGAATTTTAAACTTTTTTTTTTTAAATTACGTCCATGAATATAAGTATCGAAAATCTAAAATTTGAATTTATTCAACACGCGATAATTATAATACTGGTATTAGATTTGTTTATATCTTCACGCCTTATTCCCGAAATAGTAGCCGTGGAATGACGTTTATTATTATAATAATAATAATTTATATGCAACTGGTACAAAAATGTTATGGTGGTACAATCTAAAGTTCGCATATTTTGCAATTTGCCATATGCAAACTAAAACTTCTCCAGTTAGTATAAAAAACTGTACCGATTTCTGTGGTTATGCCATTAAATTGTAGCTTATTGCGACATTTTTTATAGATAGTGATGTGTCCTAAAAAATTATAATACATCATTTTATTCTATCATAAAAGTTTTCGCAGCGCACACGATTGAAGGAAGTTTTTTTGTTTATTTTTTTACACCTTGGGTTAGATTATTCAAGTTTTAGTAAGCATCCCTAATTTTTTTTGAAAATGAAACAGCCTATGTCACTCGGGAATAGTGTAGCTTGCCAACGGTGAAAGAATTTTTGAAATCGGTCCAGTAGTTTCGGAGCCTATTCATTTCAAACAAACAAAAAATCTAATCTTTCCTCTTTATAATATTAGTATAGAAAAATGATTAGTTAGTTGGTTTATTTTGTTTTTATTATTTGATTAAATTGTTTCATTTTTTCGCAAATGTATTAAAAATATTTGTTCAATACACGTGCGGAACCGTCATTGCTTTCCGCAGTTGTAATGAAATATACTAATTTTCCTATGCAATTGCAGATTGGCATATCCAATTTCTCCCCATGTCTAAGTCGACAGTTGTAGTAAAAAAACACTGACTTTGGTAGCGAGAAGGGCAGCCACGAGATCCGCGAGCCCATGTCTAGCGCATTCCCTCAACGCTTTTCCACCAGGGTCTGTGGCTCCGGCAGCCAACAGCATCTCCACTATTTGCACATTCCGAGCTCTCGCTGCTACCGCCAATGCTGTCCAGCCTTCACCTGGAATTCCACATTAATGGTTACTATAGAGGTAGGCTTAGTAAGCATTGGTGTCAAAATAATGATTTAACACTGGAACACTAATTTGAGAAATTCTATATTTAATTAGCACTTAAAAGGCCGGCAACACACTTGCGAGCGTTCTGGCTATGTAAGTCAAGTAACATCAGGTGCCGACCATTTGCCCCCTTCTTTAAAAAAAAAAGTGCGTACCTACAGCGTGAAACTTGGAATTTAATGAATTTAACTGTCATTAAAATATTAAGTGTCCGAAATTTAATTTCTATAAGGTAATTCGCCCTTCTCAGTTCTCTCTCTCTCTTAATCGCTCTCTCCCTTTTCTTCGACAAAAACGCTGCACATCTTCGTAACGCTAATATTATTATTATTGTGTTTCATCCGTAAAAAAATTACCCTCAAGCGTCTAAAGAAGTTTCACTTCAAAAACCTTAAATTGGAAAATATGTTTTTATATTTACCTGAATTACTTTAATATAAAAATCATGAAGTTAATAGAGCGTTAAACACATTATATATCTCAACGACAATTTAATATATAAAACTCACGATCATCATTGTAAGGCGACTGCGCAGGCGACGGTGAAGCTCGACCCCTTGTGACGGACGCACTGCGCGAGCGACGTCTCGTGTCACGGGCTACATCTGATACCATCTCCTGCAATGACGTCATAGGAAATTTAAGACCTTCTTCTCCTTCTTCTAAGGAGATATGGCGGATAGGCCAAAGCTTCTAGAATATGAGGCTAAATAAGCAAAGAATGCTGAGTAGTTTTTGCTGGGACAGATATCTAAAGAGATATCATATGAGAGTATAAGTCCAGTCTAAAAAAGTCGTGATAGCAGTGAGAGATTTGAAAACTGTAGCAAAGACAAGACAAGAGAACTGAAAGAAACCTATACTCTGATTTTTCATTCCATAGAATTCTGACATTTCATAAGTGTTGCTACTAAAAAAAATCTCCACAGAAAAGGGGACAAATTTGACTTATTTGAGGTCAATAAAAAAATGCTACGTATTTTTTATGTTTTACCTATAAAAAGGTAAATCTAAATATTTACTTACTCAAGCGACCCAATACAAAAATAACAAATAATGTAATATCCCAAACAGTATATCGAATTAACTTTAATTACTTTATTTTATTCTTTAGCTGGCATCACTTATTACCAGGTTTAGTAAACCTTTAAAAAAATTACTTTTATTTTGTTTTTACTAGAAAAAGGAGGTAATTAGCATGCCGTAAAACCACTTTTAATGTGGAGCACCGCACTTGATAAAATGGATACATTCACTAACAAATAAAATGTATGAATAGACTCAGATGTTGACTCGTATTGAAATTGAAAAATGTGCCCGGCCAAAAGGTTTGTCATCTCTGACATGTCAAAAAATGATAGCTGTCAGAATTCTACGGAATTAAAAATCAGAGTGTAGCCTAGAGATCTACTATTAATGAGCAAAATTAATTAATAGAGAAAATCTTTAGATACTGCCGTTGAAAGTTCAGCTAATCCGTTAAATTGATTTGATAAAAACTTTAACATAAGAATAAATAGAATTGTAGCCTCACCGCACATGCATCAGGCCTAGCCCCAGCAGCCAACAATCTTCGTAAAACCCTCGCGTGTCCAAGTCGCGCTGCGCACGCAACGCACGTGTCCATACCGCGCCCGCTGTCCGTACGTACTGGACGTATACGCTTCTCCGTTTCGATTGCCGACTGAAATTGTACGTAAATTAAATTTAAAAAGAGTATTAAGTACTAAATGATCTCAATTTTTATTGCATAATCTGTAAAGTGTCTAAACGTAACTTTGACTGTTCTCACAATAAGTCTAGAACAAATGTTATTGTAATTTCTTAATTGGAATTGGATTTTTTTGCGGAACTATTGGAACTAATTTCTTCAAATGGCAATCTTAAAGATGTCGATTTGATAATTATGGATATTGTGAGTTAAGATGCAATATTCAAACTGATAAGCTTTGTTGAACTCGGTTTAAAACAACGGTTAGGGTAGTAGGACTCCTTTCTCCGCAATTAGGCTCCTAATTGGTCCATTGTGCGTACAAAACAACGGTTATACTCACAGTTTTGTTACCCCCAGTTAGTTTATTAACGATAGCATGAATTCCTAACGATATCCCACTCCTATGAGGGCTAGAATTTACTCGGGATTCCGGAGGAACGGAGTCTTTAGGTGGAGACTGTAAAAAAAATTGTATTAATAATAAAATCTTAATATATATAAATTACGCGTCACGTTGTTTTTCCGCTATGAACTCCTAAACTACTAAACGGATTTCAATCAAATTTGGACACCGTGTGCAGTTTGATCTAACTTAAAAAATAGGATAGCTTACATATATATAATTCTACTGTATGTGGTTATGTCACTGAGCTCCTATTAAACGGCTGGACCGATTTGAATGATTTTTTTGTTAGTTTGGGTGGAGCCCTGGATGGTTTAGATTTACAAATCAGCCCGGCAGGTGACGCTACAGTCGGTACTTTAATACTTTGTTTAATATCCTAATCGCTTGAAATATCATACAGGACAACGTCTGTGGGGTCCGCTAGTTAACTATAAATAGCAAGAACGTGCACGTAGATGTACGTAATATATAGTTAATATAATATATAATTCCCAAAATATTTTATGAATATTTTTATTTATCACATTGAATCTTTATGAATTAAATTCGATTATTGAGTACAAAAACTAACCTGTGCAGGTCTCAACGCAGGTACAGTGAACTCCAACAGCGCATCAACAACGCCCGCGTTGCCCAGCGTACACGCAACGTACAATGCACTTTGGCCGCTCGCGTCGCGTGCGTTCACGTCAAACGCCATCCGATATTGGCATTGTCCGCTTGCGTCGCTATACAAATTAATTAACTTTAATTATATTTAGTTACGTGTCAATATCGCGAAAAAAGGCGTGACACTCATGCGAAGTAATACAACCATTACTATGCCTCCTTCATTTATTAGACTCAAAACTTAGCAATTAAAAAGGGTGGCGGAGAGTTTCTTGCCAGTTCTTCTCGCCCGCTCGAAGCCCTTGACTTGTGAACTGCTAGTAATTATTAATTTAGAATCAATTTAAGATCTTTTGGGATGAACTTTGGCACAGGCAAGAACTATACTAACATCAGCCTATTCGCCCTGACCTGTAGAGCTGAAGGAGGTCGGATATGCTTGAAAGAATACTTTAGCCTCTCTTTTTTTGGACCCTTGTTCCCCCGCTAAAGCATCTGCGTGCCCAGAATAAACCAGCCTATAAACTTTTCGTCTCTTCTATTTAGCGCATGACGGCCTCGCAGAATATCTTGAAGATTTCCCGTCGCTCTCCGCGCTGGTACTCTTACTTACGTGTATGTATTAAGCAGATGAGCCGGGTACTGGTACTCCAACAGCAGCTTGACTAGTGATGGGTGGCCGCCGATACAGGCTGCGTGTAATGGCAGCCATTTTTCAACGGTTTCTTGCTGAAATATTTTTTTTTGTACAATACGTTGCGCCGTAAGAATACTTGCTTTGATTTCTTAATTGTTTCAACAAGTATTAATTGCAAACATATCAATCTTCAGGTGTATCAAAGGAACGATAGGGAAGAGAAAAATAGATAAAATAAAGAACACATCATTAAGAAGAATAACTAAGGTAGCAGATGTCATAGTGTAAATAAAAGAAGTGGAAATAGCCGGGGCACATGGTAAAAGAAACAGAAAAGTCAAGCAACAAAGTAATAAACTAGTGCCCATGGTATAATAACGAGAGACAATTTAGAAGGTGGATAAAAGAGATTAAGAAAAGAGCAAGTGGTACATGCAGACATGGCGGGATTTGGAGACCGCCTTTACCAAAAAGGGCACCTAGAGAATAAGAATAACATAAATGTATATGAAATAACTTAAGACTTAAATAATTTCAAATATATATAGATACAAAGTGATGCCCAACACTACATCAGAAAACTTATGACATCAATTATCAATGAAAATATATGGTGAGCCTCTTGGCATACATAAGAGTGTTGCAGAAGAACTTGAACCAATTCCAAAATTTACCTGAACAGCTTCAGGAAAATGGGCTAGCAGCAGCATGGCGTTGTCGGAATGCCCATGATAGCACGCAATATACAATGGGCCATATCTGGTCACGGGGTGAGCTCTTCCATCCGCGCCGGCGCCAACAAGGACCGACGCTGAGGCGAGGTTGCCTAACTCTGAAGCGCTGAAAGATATTATCACAATGGTATCAGTATTAAAAATGGAGATTGGTCGAAGGAATATCAAGGTTAAAGGAGTTAAGTTCGGTGGCGGTTCTTGTTTGGATATGTTTAATGAAACACTCTGTTTGAAGCTGGGTAACAACTGACATTAATCTTCTAAAATATGAGCTTATAACTAACATAAAATTAGGTATCTGTATTTTCACGCAATAGAAGATGCAGAAAGCCATTTCTATGCAACGCCAAGGGATCAAGCCACTGGAAAAGTAACTGGTAGTCGACGATTCGAATCGCTCTTCGTAGAATACGGTCAAGCGGAAGGAGCTGGTACTGGGGAGCTCCCGCCCAGGAAGAGAACAGTACTCCATGTGGCACCGAATTTGCGCTTTATAGAGTTGCAAGCGGTGACCCGGAGTTAAGTACCGTCTCGCCTTGCTGAGCACACCAAGCTTGATAATTCGTCAATATTAAATGACAACTGTAGATGAAGCTCCGTTGTAGCATCATAATTAGACTTGGTACTTACACATACAACAGAGTATTGGCTCCACCAGGCGTCAAGTTGGCAATGATGGCCGCTGCAGCACCCAAGGAATCCAGCTTATCTCGAAGACCACTCGCATCTCCCCGCACAACCAACTCACGCAGCTGGGCATGATGGCATAAGCGCTCGCGTTCCAGGGCATCTAGAATACATACATTTTGACAATGTCTTACTTCTAACTGGAGTTTGTATAATAATGCCCCGAAAGTTTTAAGATTCCGGCCCCTCAAACCTTCGAAGTTATAGAAAAGTCTATTGTACACAATTCTGCTTTTGAAGACAGTGGCCTAACTATACCATCTGGGGCCCGTGGCCCTCGCGTTGTACTCAGTTTAATTTTAATAAACCCTGAGATTTTCCGCGTACTCAACTACACGTTGTATATGTCCCAGTAATGGCCATAGGCCTCCTCTCTTAGGCGAGAGGGAATGGTCTGTAGTTCCCACGCTAGCCCAATGCGTATTGGAGACTTCACATTCATCCATAGAACATAATATCTCTTGGGGTGGCACGTGGCATTTTGCCAGCCCTGCCACCCTATTGTTACGTCACGAGTTGACCGTAAACTCTTTAAAAATTAAATAAATTTAGTTAATAAATATAAGACACACTGGTCCTTTAAACCACAGACAAATGAACAGAGTTCAATGTCTTGAGCAAAATGAACGACATTATATTCGCGCACAATCATATCTATTCATGTTAACTAAGAAGGTAATATACGCGTAAACGAGAGGTCTATAAAGTTCAGTAGGAGTACAAAGGATAGAAATACTTGCGAAGTTCTAGTTTCACTACTAATTACATTTTAGCTTATCCGGTCTCATCTTGCTTAGGATTTAAATACAGGTCAAGAATACTTGATGCATTTATACTTCATATTTATGTGTTGAACGCGCTAATTTCGCCCTGGCTACTGGTTCGTTATTAATTGTTTTGTTAAGTTTAAACCCATGAAGTATAGAGTGGAACAGTTTTGATTTTGACGTTATACTTCTTTTGGCGCGTTAGGGAAAAATGATGACAGTAATATTTTTCTATTGTTAGTGTCGCTTTTTCTACAAACGTCGAATAAGTTAAGGTAAATTTAAAAAATGAGGAAATATTCGATAAATAAAAAAAACATTATTGACAATCGATTAATTTAAAAAAAAATTTAAAGAGGTTGTCACATCTCTTATAACCAATAGAAAAGTAGAAAATGGCGAATTGTTTACAAATTTCAATACATTATACAAAACTTTAAATTAATATTTAAAATACTTAGACGCGCAAAAATCACATGGAGGTGTTCCAATGAAGGTCCCCCCGAGACTCCTGCATAATCGGTATCATCATTCATGCGACGAAATTCAAAACTCTTACCCGTATCGGTGCGCGGAGTTAACCAAAAAACGACATACCTGGACACCATGGATCTCTGACATCATCAACAAAGTACTGGGCCGCATCATACGCATCTTCCGCGACGCGCGCCCGCGGTCTCTCTGGCTCTTGTCTACGTACGCCACGTTTTTCAGAATAAGACGAACGCACGTGATCGGCAGCAGAACGGAAACGATTTAACATATTCACCAATCAGACGGCCTCATTTTTATTTATTTTTTAAAATCACGATAAAAAATCCCATGTGACGGTAGATGCAACTGCACACACTATACGCATACCCTCTTATTTCAAAACTTTAGTAGAGACTAAACAATAAATCATAATGAAATTGTGTACTAAAACTATTGTGTGGCTAAGTTCTTGATAAAATATTAATAGTACAGGTAACAAAACCTATCATATCAGCTGTTCCTAAGTCTGTGTCACATGTGTAGGCATAAATTAACATAGTCAATTTATGCCTAGAACTGTATTTTCTAGATACAAGATACATTGTTTTATTAAGGGTCGATTCGACCAAACAAGAGTAAGTCTTAATCTTAGAATAAATCGTCAGTTAATCGAGAGTAAATCAATTTTACGTTTTACCAACTACAAATTCTAAGAATAGTGGGCCTATTCGGGAATTGCAACTATACCGCCGTTTCGCACGGAATAACAGCTATTCCTAGAATAATTTAATGGCGTCAGTCAGTCCAATCATCTGATTTCTGTCATTTCACAAATATGTATTCTGTGTTTTAATTTCAAGTCAACGCAACGCACTAAATTAATAGTCTGGCATTATATAATGAAACGTTTAAGCAATTTATTTATTTTTAGATTTTTTATTTTCTATAATATTAGAATGAAATTCAACTAGGCTCAACAGAAGTTCCTTTTTAGACGAAAGCCTCAAACAAACAACAAATAAAAACTTTTTGTTGTCGTTTGACACCTGTTAAAAGCTACTTTTTCACACTATAATACGGCAAAATCGAGTTGACATGATGTTTGCTCTTACACTGTCCCGTTGTAGAACAACATTTATTTGCCGAGTTTTATTTTCGTTCACCATTCTCTTGCTATTCGCGTATTGTTATTCCTAGCGCAATTATACTATCGATTACGTGGACAAACGCCTATGGATTTACTCGAGATTAAAATCATGGAATAGATTATTCTTGGTATAGTTACTCGTGTATAATTTGAAGTTTGGTCGAATCGACCCTAAAACAATTCAATAATTTATTAAGTTACCCTGCATGACTTCAAATCATTCGCTTTTAATTTTTATTTACTGTCATTTCCATGACAGCGACCCTCTTACCGGCCAAAAAAGTAAAACGCACTGTAATTATTATTTGAGAAGTTCATTATAATCTTTGAGAACAGAGAATTTTAACAATAGATACCACTCTTGTTTTATTTTATCTGCGCTTAGATTAAGACCGCCCACATTCACGTGTCACCCCACGTGACAATGTGACTACAATAATTCCTTTAAAAGAAATGCGTCGTAAACGTTTATATATCTCTAAGCATTTATATGTAATATAATTATCATGTTATGTAATAATCCCTGGGTGCAGTCCACAGACAGCCTTGCCCATCGATTTTTGGATCTTACGCTAACCGATCACAATATTACAGAAAAAATAAACTCTATTTGGGGCGTTGGAACACAGCTCAGTCAAATTTGAAACATTACGAAAAATAGAGTGGCGGAGAGTTTATTGCCAGTTCTTCTCTTACCTTCTACTCCGATTTGAGAACTGGCAGTAAATGTAAAATTAGAAGCATTAATGTATATTTCTTTTTTGACGTTCATAAGTGAACATTGTGTTATCTAAATGAATGAAATGATTTTGTTTTGATTTGGAAAATAAATTGGAGCTGTTTTAAGATGGAGATTCGATAAATTTACCTAATACCAAATATATGTAATATGTATAGCACTCTTGCACTTTATAATAATTTTAATTTTACTATTTAATTAGTGTCGTTTATTATTAATTAATTCTTGTATGTGCAATAAAGCGTACATAAATATATAAAATTTGGAACATTTAACATATGAAATCAGGTGAGTCATGCTTCAGCGAACTGCATAATTGCGTTTAGTATAAGGTAATAACAATTAAATTATTAGTTAATATTCAATTGTTTTGAAATTAAATTCAGCGTAAAAATGATAACAATTGTTTTACACAATTAAGAGGTTGCACCGGTTTTTTTTTAAATGTCATAGTTCGACTAGCGTTAGAACACTTTTGTTAATCGTATTCTGTCAATAATCAATAAATCGTTTATTTGCAAAGTGGTACATTTCTATCGATTAATTGTAAAAAACCACACAATCAACTATATAAAAATAGGCATGTTAATAAGTTGAGTTATTTATATGGTCTGAATATTCGCCCTTGCCTTTAAAAATGTATATTTTTATCTGTATTTTTTATTTTATTCTTCCAATCGAAGTTGCGTGTAAGTTCCTTGTAACCCTACACGTGAGCCAGGTTAGTGACCACAAATCCTTGCTAATAGAGGACAAGAGACGTTAAATTCAATTAATGATATGTGGTTATGGTTTAACTGTATTACAACATATCTATCAAAGATCTCTTAATTGAAATCATTATAAAAATGAACCAAATTACTTGCTTTATACAGAGAAACCTTGTTAATATATAGGGATCTCAAGGGTTTTGTACCATTTTAAGTTGTTTTTTTATTAATTACCTACAACTAACATAAATTATAACATATAACAATAAACAATCTAATATATACAATTCTGGTGTCACAAAGTTCGTTCCCATACTCCTCCGAAACCGCTCCACCGATTCTTATGAAATTTTTAATGCATATATAAGTCTAAGAATCGGCTACTATCTATCTTTGAAACCCCTAAGTGATAAGGGGTGTCCACCCCAATATTTATAAAATTTCTTTATTTCAAACGGATAAAATACTGCACAATATTTTCTGCGGCGTTCATTAATATCTAGAATAATTCTCGAGACAGATTAGGCGCCGTTCAAGTATTACGTAAGCAGATTTACTGCAATTTATCCCCCCCCCCTTCCTCTTGTCAGCAAAAGTAAGCAAAGCTCTCAAAAATAATAGTACATAAACGTATTATTTTTTGTAGGAATCCTCGGAAATGCATTTCGTTTTCAAGCATAAACAATGTGTGGGTAATATGTGTAAAAAAGTATTACTGTTGACGTAATCACCAAATAAGAAAATCAAAGGAGGGGGTTTTCCTTTCCTTTTCCTCGCCCCTAGAGTTCTTACGTATAACTTGAACCCCTTAGTTATAATTTTTCAAGGTTATCCGTGTGCCTAGTATATTGAGTGGAATTTTTTAATAATATGAATAATTAAGGATTTACATATTATCTTATCATTAATTAGCTTTTTTATTGAAGATGAAGATTGATAATGAATACCATTGCTTTACCCTCAGGTATAAATATTAAGTATCTATATATTAAAGGAGTTCTTTTTTATATATTCCTTGAAGAGAGGATTGCTTAAAGTGAAAAAATGAGTTAAATACCATTTCTATATTCCATGAATAATCAAAATATTCGTAATAATATTTAAAGGCAATTTCAGACTTTCCAGGTATAAAGTTTTATTATAGTCATAATAAATAAATACAAAAATGATTCTAGTTCTTAATGGTTGTTTTTGACAGGCCAGCAAAAAAAAAACAAAAAACTAAGCTAAAAAACGCTTTTGGGGTGACTGACACGCGGTGTGAACTTGATTAACATAATTTTAAAGCTGAAAAAACTCAGCTAAAACGAATAATCCAGTTACTCTAATGATATCTATGTGATATTCTAAAGTAATTGTCCTTAAATCTTAATTTAAGCAGGACCTAGCGTGCGACATCCCTTAGGTCACAGGTTCGATCTCCGGTTATGCACCAATAAAAAATAAATCAGTGGCGCTACAACCTATTTAGGTCTTGGCCTCAGATTTCTGAATCTGTTTCAAGATTATTTTTAAATCTAATAGGCAAGTAGGTGATCAGCCTCTAGTGCCTGACACACGCTGTCGACTTTTTGGGTCTAAGACATGACGGTTTCCTCACGATGTTTTCCTTCACCGTTCGAGCAAATGTTAAATGCGCACTTAGAAAGAAAGTCCATTGGTACACAGCCGGGGATCGAATCTACGACCTCAGGGATGAGAGTCGCACGCTGAAGCCACTAGGCCATCACTGCTCGTGAGTCGTGCACCAATGGACTTCTGTTTATTTCTATAACAGAAGACATACAGGCATAAGGCTCGCAACTAAGAATTGGTACGTTCTTTTCTTGGAGGACCCTCAAATTGGTTTAGAAATACTTCAGTGTACCACTGGTTCCACATAGTGGTGGTGCGCGGCAAACATTTTCTTAAGCTGTGCGCATTTGACACTAGCTCCTACGGTAAAACTTGAGAAATGTCATGCCTTAGAACCAAATGTCTGCAGCGTGTGTCATAGAAGGCTGATCACCTACTTGTCTGTTAGGAACACAAAGCATTCAGAACATTGAGGCCCAGACCCAATAACCACTGCTTTTTCGAACTCAATTTCGTTTTTTGGAGTTTCTGGATCCTCCCAAACTTCGATATAAGTGTGATACAAGCTTCTAAATTCTCTTTTCTGTTCTAAATTCCATTCTACAAGTGTCTCTCCATATCGGCACGTAAAAAAGCCACTCGATATTGCCATAGTACGCGGATTTTGTAGTTTTATTTTTGGAAAACTTTATTAAAAGCTTTTTTATTGACATTTAAAAAGTCAATATATTCGCTTATAATTACTATTGAATTTGAATTTTTAATCTTTTGTAACTAAAATTTGTAACTACGATAGCTTTGTAGCCCATTGAAATGTTAGGAGATATAGCCAAAACCGTGTTTTAACCTCTTTTTCCAAGATGGCGGCCGGGGGACAAGGGCGCCATCCCCACGAACTTGGGTTTAAGCTTGTATTGACCCCCCCTACATGTCCCATAAATAAAATTGCGTCCTCTAACAAATATTCACTTTGGCCCTCAAATTATAACATTTCAATGGACTATATAAACTAAAGACAAGGTTTATGTGTCGTAATGTATGTATGACAAAATGTCAAAATCAAATACGTTTTTGAAAAACGGGGGACATATTTGATAGACTTTTAAAAACTTTAAATA